GCAATCTTAGGGTTGCGGTGTCACCTCGGGGTGACAAGCAGGGACCTGCCTGTCCCTGGTGCTTCTGTATCACCTCTTTTTTTCGATAAGGAATGCTTGAAACAGCTGTCCTAGGGCAGTCTGGGAAGCTCAGTCTTTTTTTTTTTTTTTGTCCTTAAGGACCCCAATTCCCTTATTTCGAGCCAGAGAAATGTGTCAGTGTGGCAGTCTCGCGGAGACGAAACAGTGACATCCAGCGGCCGCTCTGCCACAAAAATGGCATCGTTTCGTCCCAAAACCGGTGGGAGGGTGCCCAAGGGAGAGCCATCGGCCCGGGGTGCCCGGTGCCCTGTGCGTGGGGCAGCCTGGCAGCAGCCCGGGTGGGAGGCAGGGCACAGCCCCACGGGCGGCCGGGGGGGAGGACAAGTGGCAGGGGGAAAAAACTTAGAAAGGTTGTGTTCTCCTTACCACGCAGGACCCGTGTTCTCCAGCATCCCTCCATTCAGCTTTGGAAAGCCTCTGGCTTTCAGCGTAAAGAACTTTAGGTGTAGGCAGAGCTAACTGACACACACTCCTTTCAAATCGGGAACTTAACCTAAATTCACAGATGACAGTACTTAATGTGCCACGTTGCCAAAAATGTAGCTGGGATCCCAGAGAGGTGGCGAGGTTCTGACTGCTTTGTACTAACCTGGCAAGTCAGCCAGCTCTGCCCCTAATGTCACATTATGTGGTGCAGCGACCAACTCCGAATGTCTCTTTTAAGGAGGGGAGGCCCATAGCCATAAGGGTCTGGGAACCAGAACTTACATGGCACTACATAACACCCAACCTTCCCTGGGTCAAGTGTGTTGGTAGTTTCTGTGCCTGTCTCAGCATCCAGTGCAAAGAACAAGTGGTTTTCCTCAATTATCTTAGGTCATAACTTCTATTAAAATGTAGTACTTTGATTGTAGGGTTAATTCTACCAGACCAGAAAGGAGCAGTTCTTTATTGTCTCCCTTTTAGTAGAGGCAAAATAAAGTTCTTGGTCCTTTCTGACACATGAAAGCACTATCAGAACAGTTTTAACAAATGTGTAATGGATTGTTTTGTAGTACACATTTTAGAAAATGCTTATTTAAAAGAGAAATTCCAGTGATATATTTCAACAGAGCAGCAAGTCATGTTAGTAGTCTTCCTTTTTTGATTAATATGTTTTGAATGTATAATTATTTTGTGCAACTTCTTTTGAACTTAAAAAATTCATGCCTAACTTCCTGGTGCACCCAGTACTAAGTTCTCGGTAAACCTGAGCCTTTAGTGCCTGCTTCACATTAAGCATTATTGGGATCCATAAAGTAGCTGCTTATCTGCTTTGCCTTATCTGCAAGACATGAATGTGTATGCTTTCTTGGAGACAAGGGGAAGAAATTATGTCTTTAAAGACAGCAGCTTCGTGCCCTTGTCTTCCAGAGGGGAGTCTCAGGGATCAGCTTTGTGGTCCAGTGATTAATTGAGATGAATACTCCAACATGCCGCTAAAATCTCTCGTGTATGTTGCTTAAGTATATGAGGATCTGCACTTGATATATCGTTTTACTATGGGATTTGTAAGCCTAAATTGCTAGACTTTTTTTTTTTGCATTCCCACCCTTGGTCTGTATCTTGGGCTGCGGTGTGTTGTTTGGGCTTACCTAGGGTAGACCTATGTGTTGTAGCACACGTACTGACATAGTTCCACCACATCTCAGGAGAGAATGAATGCGGGAGAATGGGGATACAGATAATCCTCTGCTTCCCAATCGATCCTGCCTTGAGTAAACTGGTGATAAACTCTCTGCATCCTTTCTTCCTCCCTCTGTTGGCTGTACCGTTTTCTCGTGCCAACTCAGTGCTGAAGATGACAGACCGAGTGGGCCCGACTATCCCCCAAGGGAATGGCTTGTGCTCATCCCTGATGGCGGTGCAGGCGAACCGAAGCCTGCGTTACACAGAGCCAGCCCAAGGCCAGTTCGACTTGCCCTGGGGCTAGGGCCCCGATCTGGACCTGTGGAGGCACCACGAGGCACCGTCTCCTCTGTCATCTCAAACAAAATGGAGGTGGTTGAAATTTTTTATCATCATCAGTGGTCAGTGAGTAGGAGGAGCTACCATTAAGAAAGACGTGTTTCTGTAAATGTCCGCAGTGCCTTATTGCCTGAAAACATCCAGACATTTTAGAAGAGATTGTGTTTGGAATAAGGTAGGCTTAGTTTATTTTTCTAGAGTTATTGAGAAACCAAGTTGGTATACAAAAGTTACAGATAAATATTTAAAGAGCTGCAATGGTAACATAGGCCCTAGCTACACCTCTGCATAGCGAGGAAAGGGAAAGGAGTGTTCCTGCCTTGCTGTGTTCTTCCCATGGTGGCCAGTGCTCCCCTCTGAGATAGCTGAACTGAGGTGGAGATGAAGGCAACCTGCTCTCATTAGAAAGCCAAAATCCTTCAGGGAGAAAGTGATCTTCTGGAGAACTAGGGACTGGGCCCCATTTTCTAAATCTTTGGCCTGTTCTTGCAACAGGACATTTATTCACCATCCTTCAGATAAGACTGGAGAAAGGTGACAGAATGTCCTTTGAGATATCCATCAAAGAACACTCAACAGATCCACAAGATGGGGACTATTTATTCCATACTAGGCACAGATTAACCATTGTTGCTGTAAGTTGTTTTTCTAAGTTGTCATTCTCCAAGGAACATACTACAATATTAGCAAAATAGATAGCATGGTAGAAATTGGTTCCTCATAAACTAACCCTATTACTAATGGCAGAGCTAGAGTACAGTTCCTCAAGCATCCACTCTGGAATAAAGTGGGTTCTAGCCATATAGTGCAAGAGTGATGTGAATTTTAGAGTTCCTTGTTCATATTTTCCTTTTATGCCTGCTTCCTTCTCCCCCCCTCTGAATTACAGTTAAGTTACTGTAGTTTAGCAGCTGGGATTCAGGTTTGTGACTAATATTTCTAAGGAGTTTTTGAAGGAAGTAATTCTTCAATTAGCCTTACTATTTTTTACTGATATTTCCAGAAGATTGATTTTTTGCTTAAGATGCAATTTTAGTTTCAAGTTTTTCATTAGTGATTAGTGAAATGGTACATTGGTAGTTGACTTTTTGGTCATCTTTCAAATAAAGGAAAAAAACCCCAGATTTTGTGTAAACATTTTCAGTAATGTTCTTAGAGCCTTGACACATTATTTTTCCAAGCTTGTTAACAAAATTCTTATCTTGCATACTGTGAACAAAAACCACTGGAATATTTTGTGAGGATAGTTCTATCACCTCCACAGGCTGATTCAGTGGTGTGCATGTGACTGTTTAACATTTGGCTACATGATTAAGTGAGGAAAGGTGTAGCAAAAAAATTAAGTTTTTGAAGGTGGTAGGAACACATAGGTCTCTCCAACCATCTTTACAGCTGTCAAACTTATTGTTTTGAAATCCAGGCCAACAGAGGCAGTTGCTGTCATAGCTATGCTTTTTCCACCCATAGTTTTCTACAAGGGTAGCCTGTATCATCTGCAGTGGGATGTCTTTAACTGTTCATGGGCTACTATTGTTTCACACGAACACACTGCAGTAACCTTTTCTCGGATAATGCTTGTCATTGTTGCCTCCCAAAAGCATATCCAAATATACAATATTTATGCCTGCAATCAGTTACTAGAAAATTTTAAAATAATCAAATTCTTTATCAGTTTTTGCTGTTTCAGAAATATAAGCAGGGTGAAATTCAAAGAGGGTTGCCATAACTTTAACTTCTTGGTGTATTCAGTCATGAGGATAATGAATCAGGGTTGCCTGCCATGGTCAATGTTAAATAGAGTTCTTTGCCATTATTAATTAATGAGATTAAAAGACACTAGACCACTGCAATAGAGGCTACAAGACTGCAGCTCATGGGGATGAGAATCAAGGCTGGTGATGTTGCTTTTTTCCAGCATTTACTAATTCAGTGGATTAAGGTGAAGTTAGTTACTGTGAAAAATCCCAGGGAGACCAGAAATATAGTGTTACCTGGAAAGGAACATAATGACAACTGTCTGGCACAGATTCTTTTTTTTTTTTTCCCTTTCTTTCTTTTTAGAGCTTCAAAGCTCCCATAGTCTTCACTGAATGGCAGTCCCTGAGGAAGGATTAGATAAAATCTGATTAGGGAATTTAGCATTTCCTTCTCAGAAATCTGAAACAGAGAACACCTCTCTGAACCATTCCTCTCTAAAGTGTGACTGATCTGTGTAGAACTGTTTTGAGTATCTGATACCTTTCTTACTCAATTGGATATTTGTTGCCCGTGTTTCTTTTGCATTTAGCTAAAAGATGTTATTATCTCAGTGACGGCTGGTTTGTGGAGGCAGCAGATCCTGACCTTGGCCTATTTTGTGTCAGCGCTTTTTTTCAGCGTTTTTGTGAGGAAGTATTAGAGCTGGCTGTAGCTGCATGGAAAGAGAAACAATGGCTTCTTTCTTGAGGAAGGTGAGATACCAGTTCAGAGGAGATCATAGGTTCTAGCGGATTACTTGGTGCCCTTTGTTTTTAATTAACCTTCTTTAGCTACAAGAGCCAGCAATGCCACCCATCTGGGGAAAATGCCATACAAAGGAGCACGCTTCTTCCAGTCTATGTGGAAGCAATTTAGAGAGGATCTGCAATGAACACTTATGTTTTCCCCCTCGCTGAAATATTAGCTACAAATAAAAGAAACTATTCCCTTCTTTTAAATAAACTCACTGAGAAGTATGTCTGTCTTGGTTCAACCCGGGGTTTGACATTGGCCAGAATAAGGGACACCTGAATGACACCTGATCTCAGAGGTGGAAATAACTTACAACATTCAAAATGTCTGTGCATAATAGTGTAAACCCTTTGGTTTTCTTTAAAGCTGTAAAGTTAGAATTAGAGCAGCGAGAGGTTTTAGGGAAAAGCAGCTGTCATTGCGCTGTTGCTTTATTGCTTTGAAAGCAAAAGACCATAAATAAATGCTCCGGTAAGAACAGATGTTTTGAACTACATCTCTTTTTTTATTGCAAAACAATTGTTACAGAAATTTCAGAAAGTTCTACTGTAGTAATTGCCAACTTCTGCTTTTTATTACGTATCTAAACACAGTCTAAAAGTGCATTGTGAATCCAGTAGACCTTTGGAAAGGACCATTTTCCCTAGTGATATACATTTAGACAAATCATACTTGAAAAGCTTCATATTAGTAGGAATTTGTTTAAAATGACATTTTAATCATTTTTCTCCCTTTATAAATGATTGTTATACACTTAAAAATGATAGCCCAAATAATAAACGATTAAATAGCTATTAGTATAGTATATTGCAAACACTGTTCCAGACAGCAGTAGCAGCATATAGACTCTCCTCATGTACAACAACTGCAGTGGTGGAAGAAGGATATAACTTTAATACAATTTACTCTTGTGCAGGCATAAAATTGTATTTCACAGCCAATTCCTACTTCTGTCCCTTCCCCCTACCTACCAAATACTAAAATAAACAAGTTATCACTTCCCTGCAGCAGAAACAGCAGCGATTTCATAATCAAACATTTTTTCCTAATAGCTTTTTGAAATAAGTACTGTGTGGCTCTACGAGAGATCTGAAAGCGTACACCAAAAATTAAAAGGTCAGAGACTGCATCACAACCAGTCTGGCTCAATGGCTCAGTCATTAGACTGCCCACTTGATGATGATTTAGGATAATCTGTGCCATGGCTCAAAGTAATATAGAGTTAGGAATGCAGAATAAATCCATCCTCTAACAAAAGCCAGAATACTCTGTGGAAATCAGTGGATTTTCTGCAGATTTTCGCCAGCATCAGTAAGACCATAATCATAGTCAACCCTGGAGAAGAGAAGCCTGTGTGACCTGTGGTGTTCACCCTGTGATTGATTGGCTATAAAGCAGGGTGGCTCTCACTGGGGTGCAGAGACTCAGCCCCTCCGCATCTCAACACCACTGCTTCTACGCCAACGCGTGGCAAGGCCAGTGTACCCCATCTAGAGCAATGAAGGGTTCCATTAGGTAAGCAGACACTCCCGGTGCTTTACGTCTGCCCAGTTTGGACTGTACTGTTGTTTGAGGTGGATGAGGGAAAATTCATGCTAGGAAGCTTTCCTGTTTCTTTTGAAGAAGGTGATCTGTACCTGGTACCTTTTAACAAAACTGAAATTGTGGCCTTTGTTGAAACAATTGTGCATATTTGTGCAAAAATGCAAATATACCATTATATTTAAGCAGGGGAGAGACATCACAACTACTTAAGTATTCCTAGGGAAATCCAGGAATGACCAGCTCACATTTTCCCTTCTGGTGATTATCAGATCCTCTTAAGTATATAACCTGAGCAACATAACAAGACATTTATGCTTGTTTTGAAAATTTGCACCATGAGTTTAGAGAGAATTTTGTTTCACTGGCTCACTCTAAGCTAATACCTTTGATAGCTCCTGCTCTCAGGATAGATACTTGTTTGCTCCGACTGCAGTCATTGGACTAAGGCTGTGTGCTGCTACCAGCACTTTTTTTGAGCGGTTACTTGTGTAGTTGCATTTTCCATGCGCTGACAGTTTCTAAGAAACAAATCATTTTCTTCTCATACAAAAAATATAACTAACTAAGATATTTATCCCCTGACAAAAGGCTATCCATTCCACAAAAGGTACAAATCAGTTTTTTTACCAAAAAATCTATAAATGGAAAATGAAAAAAAAGCGATCTATATCTGGAACCCAGAGGGATTTCCTTATGTGGATGAATGGATGTTTTGGTTCTTCGTTGTATTTTCAAATTATCCCCTCACTGCCATTTGTTAACTGGCACTTGTGCTAAGAACAACAATGTAGCACCTTATCTCTTCCAAAAAAAGAGAGAGCCAAATGTCTGAGCACTGCTGTAGGTTCGCATTTTGTATTGAGTATTTCAATTTCATAAAATACAATTGTCATTTAAAAATAATTAAAAAAGTCACTTACTTTGCTAAAGATCAAACATAATGGAAATAATGTAAACATCCAAAATCTTGAATTCATTCCTAACTGGATTCATCTTTACAGGCAGGCAATAGCAAAATGTTAAGTCTCATAGTAGTCCAAAGAAACTTATGGAACAATGCATGCATTTTCGTTGACACAAAAAAAGACTGGACTGTAAAGAAGAGAAACTACTTCAGTCATATCACACTGTTATTGTGAAATAATGTGCTATAATCCAATACCAAGGACAAGTGTATACCCCAACTGTAGAATAGCATCACTTAAACTGGAAACAACAGAACGGATTACTATAGGAAAATATTTATAAAATACTGTACACCGCTTCCTTAGTCGGCCAGCATATGTAAACAAACAGCTAAGTTCAGTTGAATTTCAAAATATTATTAAAGTTCATTTATCTTATAATCTTTTGCATAACATGCCAGTTCGTCTTTCACACTATCACAACTCACCTGTCACAGCCCACAGTGGCTCATTAGAGGTTTATACATCAGCTCATACAGGCGTTTAAGTGGACCTATACAGAGAAATGCGTGAAATATACCAAACTTACACACTGTGACCAGAAATGCATATTCCATATGTAAGCTAATAATTGGATAGTGGAACTTAATGCTCGATGCAACATGTGCTATTTTATTGAATGTTACAGATTTACAAAACAAGACCTTATAATGTGATATTAAAACTGTCCTGTAACGTTCACTAATATTACCACATGTCACAACTATACTGGTTTATCTATGGGAGATATGTATATATGTGTGTATATATATTTCATAAGCTATCATTTGATACAGAATATGTCATATGGCACATGCTATAGCTACATGATGATGGATGATAAGACTTCTGCTCTCACTAAATGATCATAATAATATCAGGAGTGGGAAATCTGGTCCCGTTGCAAGGAATCGGTGTTTTACCATCAAATTCAAAAAGGACCAGTTTGATGGAATGTGTAAAAAACAGGTGAAGATAAAATGATCTAACATCCATCATAATATATTCTATAGAGACCATATCGTAGAATAAATGGGAGACATTCAGGAAAAGTAGTGTTCTGACATCTTGCAATCACACTTTTAACATCTGAATTTACATTTTATATATAATGGCAAATTTTAAGAGGTAAATAAAGTGTCCTGTTTCATTTTTGCCTGGAATTTGTGCTCCAGATCAATAAAGTGCTGTATCCTAAACATTTATACAGCTTCCGGGTTTGGCAAATTCCTTTAACCCTGACAAACTAAAAGATGGAATCTACCCCAGAGGAGAGCCCTATGCCTTGAACTAATTCACTAAGCACTGTTGAGGAATTTGTAATGAATCTGAAGTTCCTCTAGAGTAGGCCAGTAATACGGTGAAGGTGGAAGAGTCCACGAACAGTTTTAGCAGACATTCGTAAAAGTAACAAAGAAAACAAAGTGAGAATATCCCCCTCTACTCACCAAGGATAGTCAGATTTGGAGAAGCCTTAGGAAAAGGCTGCTAACAGAAGTTGGCACATTTGAAGCAGATTGTTAAACACAAGTTCCTTTGCCCCTGGGCATTTTGCTATTGTTCAACAATCAGCCCGTCACAAGCATGCTTCATAACGCACGGAAAGGTTTCTGACCTTTCTCGGTGTTGCCATGTGACCGTAACGCTCCACATGGACTGCAAGGCAATTGCATAAACGTGGTGTCTTGGTGGAGTTTAGCTCATTGAAAGCCTGATCAAATAGAAGAAAGCAAGGAACACGTTGGTACAGGAAGTATGAAACACATTGTGCTTAAAGTCCCCATGCTGCATTTCTTTATTTCCTGAACTTTCCAATGTAGTGACTCAGTACCTAAATGTTTTCACCTTCTTTGCCTCTTTTCCGGAGGCTGATGGTCATTTTTATGTCTGGATTTGTTGCCTTTCAGACTTAGCTCTCGTACAATGCTCAGAGTCTCCCAGGGTAAGATCCCTGTGAGAAAATGTCAGCCTGCATTTTCAAAGCTGCCTTAGAGATTTGGAAGATAATTCCCATTTAAATAATGGGAAATATGTACCCCACTCACATGTGTTCATTTTTAAAAACAAAAAGGAGCTGGTTCTACACAGATGTTGGTCGTTGTAGAAATGTTTTAATTTTTAATAGCACTAGCTTCGACTCTTTACAAGCTTAAAAGTCGTGCCTTCGTAAAGGATGTGAAATTTTGATGCAGTTGCAGTTTATGCTTCTCCACCCTTCTCCACGCATCTTCTGCGTACCCTTCCACCTGTGACCACTGTGATATCTTCTCATGAGAAGCTTGAAACTGGTTGACATCGTGGACCCTTGGAAAGTGGGTGGGTTTGGTGGAGTTACGACTGTCTTCAACCAAAACACACAACTGTGCTACCATGCAGATGTACTTTCTCTTACAAAAATGCAGGTTGTGTGATATGGTGCTGAACAGTGGAAGCCTAGTTGCAACTGGCGGCTTTTGCTGTTAAAAGACATCTGCAGTTTCACTTTGGTTCTTTTCTTTCTTTAACTTACCTTAAAAGCATATAGACTTTTTTAGTGTTTTATCAGTCCTCTGCCAAGAACATTTTCCCTTAAGCAACTTCAGCCTAATTGCATGAATCTGGATTCAGACCGCTTGATAAATCTTGTATACTGTGAAATGTTCAAATATGGCCATGTCCTCATGAAAACAATAATAATAAAAAAAAAAATGTTGTATATTTTTAGGTGAGGGAATGATGTGAAAAATCAGCAACTCAAATGGAACAGCAAGTAGAGCCTGGTAGTAGCCTGGCGGATAAATCTCCCCAATTTGTATACGTAATTAAACAGAGCAGTGAGATCCCGACAATATTACTGTGCTCTGATCATCCTGTTCTTACTGTTCCATCACATCCTTTGATTTAGTGAGACAACATATTATGACAAATGTGGTAAAAAAATAAATATATACTATTCCGCTTAATTACATTCATCCTGAGCTTGCTCAGCTGTGCTAGAATCTAGAATGCCTGTTTTATACAGGAAATCACCTGATACTTTAACATAAATTCTTCCTCCATTTAAGCTGCAGTACAAAAGGCATTTCATTTCCCTTTCTGCTCTTGAAAATATAAACTTTTTGTGGCACTAGAAGTTGATAAAAAAAGAGACAAGTGAACATTATGGTTGTTATCTTGTTCATCTTTCTTCATTTCCACAAGTGTGGGATGGAAGGGATTTGGGAGATTTTAGGTTTGTTTGCTGCCAGTTCCTACAGAAATAACAAATGCTTTTCATCAGTCATCACAACGGTGAAACAGATGAAAAAGAAGTCGTGATTGAAGTTTAGAACATCTAATTTGTACATCTCTTTTTGCCAGCTAATTTCTGCATCCTAAAAACTTGAATAATGATCAAGGATTTTAGGATGCCTTCTAATAAAAGGCAGATTTCTGAACCTACTCATTTATTTCTTGTGACTTCATAAAAGGGGTTTGTTATTCCTGTTGTTTACTGAAGTCTTTGTAAAGCTTTCATCCCTTCCTTTTTCCTTAAGTGCAAATGTCAACTGGGTCAAGATGCAGTAACTCAGTGGGCGGTGCTGAGGCTGACAATGTGCTCCCTTGACCAGTGGCTATTGCCAACTGGAGTTGACATGGGGTAACGTGTTTCTTTTTTTTTTTAAAATTCTGCTAAGAAAAATGAACTGGAGAGCAGATGACCCTTAGACTGCTGATAGGCCTAGCTGTGCTTGCTTTCAAAGCTGCGGAAGGCTCCCGTTCTTGACAGTCTCCTCATGGACAGGTTGTCCCCTCTGCTCTCTGGTCTAGAGGACTTACTCCTTTGGAAAGGGTTTCGGAGGCCTGTTGTGTTTCGCTGTCTGTCAAGTTTGTCGCTGATAGAGTAGCTCTTCCGCGTGTGCTGTGCATACAACATGTTGGACTCCTCTGCAGAGTAGCTGTTGGCCCGCTCTATTTTTGGAAGTGGGATGCTGTTGGCCAGAGTTCTTGTAGCATTGCTGTCTTGAGGAGATAAGAGGATCCCCTTCTTGTCTTTGGCCTCAATATCCTCATGATCAGAGCTGGGGTGGCTTAGCTCAGCTTCTCTCTCTGGGTGGCAGCATCCCAAGTCTTCCACTTTGCCCCCAAGACTTCCAGGGAAACTGGCCCTCTCTGCGATGGCCTGTGGAGCGCTCACACACCTCGTGTCTATGCAGTCCGTAATGCTTGTGTACTCTGCTGTTTTGACTGGGACACCGAGGCTGCTGAAGTAACTTCGAGATGGAGAGAACATGAAACTGTGAGATTTCACAATTGGCGTTTCCTCCAAAATAAATGGAGTCGTAGCCAGGTAACGACTGCTTTTAGATCGCTCTAAAGTGTGGTACAAGGGAGGGTCTGAATCCCAGGGGATTTGGCAATCTGTGATTTGTGAATAGTCTGAAGAAAATGCTCTTGTTTCAATTCCAGAGGTTTCCTCGTAATCAAGACTCCTGCCAGCAATTTTTTCTCCAGGTGTACTGCTAATGTACGCACTGTTAGCTAAAATGGAAGAGGCTATGTGGGCCTGCAGAGCCACATCTCCGGTACCGAGAATATTTATGGAGCTGTCAAGAGGCTCTGTGTCAGAATGCATCTCATCCATGGCAGAAACGTAGATGTCTATACAAGACGAAGGCCTTCTGGAGTCTGGGGCAATTGACAAAGTGCTGGTAGGTGCTAAGGGAACCTTTCCTTCTTTTGCTATTGAGTGGGAACTGATAGCTCGATGCAGACTTGGCGATCTTTCCTTAAAAATGCTTTCAAACTTTTCCAAGCCACACTTGTCCTTCATATTTGTTGCATAGAAAGAGTGGCTTCGCATGCGGGGTGTGATTGTAGGAGACGTTGGGGACATGGACTCCTCTCCCGTGGGATCTATGCTCTCTTGAAGCTTATAAGTATTTCCTTCCTGGCTATTGAAGCTACTCTGCCTCACAATGTAGGCTGCATCCGTACAGTCAGATGAGGTCCTGGATCGTATCTTGGTTGTCTCACCTCTCTCTATGCCGGTCAGTTTTTCTAAGGCGGTAACCATTCGTCCCATCATATCTTCCAGCTGAGCAAGCCTGATGTCAACGGTCTGCAGAGAGGCCTTCATGCAGTGCTCTCGCTCGTTTACTTCTTCCAGTCGCATGGCCATGTTCTCTACCCTTAAAAAAGGGAAGAATTAAACAGATTAATTTCTATGAAGCAGTAATGTTCAGCTAATAGGTCACCAAAACAAACAGGAACAAAATTCGAAGCCAATCTACACCACCTCATCTGCTTTAAAACCCTGCTGAAAGAGGTTCAGCAAACAACTACTCAGGGAGCTCCTGCAGTGGGTTAAACCAGGGGAGGCTGCTGCATAATGTAGAGGGGGTTTTGGGTGTGCCCTATCCCAGGGATAGGGGTTATTACAGAAATGTTACTATGATTTGCTACCTCTTTGCTGCCAAAACTTCTAATTAGGTTATTGTTAATGAATAACACTTAAGGCAGACACCACATGATGTTGTCCCCAGTTGTGCTACAGGCAAGACCACCACAGTTAACTGTGGAACTAAATGAAGTGATGAAAGTGGGCAACGTGCCATAGAAGGTGGGTAATATCCCATCTTTTTCCTGGTGTTCACCCCAGATTTACACTAATTAGTGCTATGTGGACCTAAGGAGATATTTGCTTTGTTCTCTGATTAATTTTTAGCTCAGATATATGAAAAAAAAATATGTATCAGCTATTGTGTTGAATGTAGGTAACATCAAGTAAAGTATGCATGGAAACTGCAGGGAGAAGAACACTGGTCAAACCAAATGCAGTCTACAGTAGGGTACACACATGAAGATTACTCCATTACTGTGATTGTGCTTTGGGTAGTCTCTGTTAATAGTTTAGGGATACAAACAATGGATTTTAAAGTTATTTATTAGCTACTTATCATTATATATAAATAAAAAGTTAGATTAAAGTAGTAATAGGTAATAATTGAATGTGTGATCTTAATTTAAACTTCAGTATATATGTTCTACACTCTTGAACTGCCTCATTTTAAAATGTTTTCAAATTTAAGGTGTATTGTGTACTAATTTATGCCTGTGGCTTTCAACCATTTCAATTTTCTGGCTTCTAAAACATCTCTACTGAAGGATTCATATGAAGTCTTCTAATTTTACACAATGAAATTGCCTTTAGCACATATGAAATTTCTTCTCCTAATTATTTTCTCTAGTTGTAGTCCCTAGGGTAGACGAGGGACCTCTATTATCTGCCAAAGAAGTATTAAAGGCAACACATTTATACAGTTATTTTTTTCTGATTTTTGATGCTACAATTCTGGTTTTCTCCATTCCTGTAGCCACTGAAAAATGAACAGAGAAGTGACAAATGCCAAATGGCAGGATTTCCACACTTTTCTCTTCACAAGTCTCTTACTCTCTGCCTGTTAGTGCAATTCATACTCAAATGCTAATAGGCGCCACGTCAGTTGTAACCAGGATTTTTGATAAGTACCATTTTCTACTACTGCTGGTTCAATTCCCAACATTATGAGTGGCCTGGAACCGGCAATGCCATAAAGGCTTTTACTCACCCCGGAGGCAACCAGATTTTAGCAGTGAATTGGGCAGCATTAATGCCTCGTTAATTAATGCACATAACTTCAGCTGGTGAAAAACTGAGGTCTGACTACCTTGTGGTGATGAGCAACAGCAACCCGCCCGCACAAGAGGGAAGGGAGGAGTGTGACACCACTCCCTCCAGCAAGTCCCACATTCCTGTGAAACGGGCTTTTTCTGTTGAAGATCGTGAGTTTTGAAAGCACAAGCACGGCAAATCAAATGTGAAGCAGTAACTGTATTGCTGTCATAAGATTTCAACAGAGGAATGATCAAGTAATTGCCATTAAAAATGAACTGGTAGTTTCAAAGAATCTCATTCTACTCATCTTCTTATCACTTAGGCACCAGTCAAACTCTAGTTCTACCACCTTCTCCAACAAAACAGATTAATATTATTGCAAGCACGGAATATAATTCCATAGTGAGAGACCAGTTTCTATGGGAAGCAGTTGAATTTTCCCTCATGTTATTAGTTACCTGAACTGCTATTTTATGAAAACAATTATACTTTTGAACTGTTCAAAGATGATGAAGAGATATAACAATTTCAGGGCTGTCAAACATATGGAACAATTTGAGAAACCTCCTGGATTTTGTTTGAGAATCCCCAGATTATGTCCAACAAAACACATTCACCCCAGCAACAGTTACTCAAGAACTGGAATGAATTTGCATTTTTGGGTTGCTTGTTTTTGGTTTTGGTTATTTTTCTTTTTTTTTTTTTTTTCTTGCTTTGAGAGAGGTATACAAATGAAATTATTTTTAATAAACATAGCCATTTGAATTAATTGCACTTGGTTACATATTTTTATCTAGAATGTGAGTAGAATTGTCCATAGTGAGATAAGTTTTGTATCCTGCATTCACATGAGGGCTATGCAATTCGACTGAATAAAACTAATGCATCCCAAGAAGAACCTAGAGTTGTACCTTGCTGGTACACATTTATCTATTTGTCCTGCCTTCCCTGAACATGATCTGTTAGATACTGCCAGAGGCACAAAGTGTAAATGTATTGCTGGCCAAAATGAAGAGAGACTTTTGAGTTACATGGTCTGTTGGTTGCTATGGAAGTGATCAGAGATATGATTACATTGATAGTAGTGGGAAATTTATATAGAAACTCAACAAGGTAAGGATAGTGCAGCCTGGGTTCAGAAACCAGGGGTAACCAGGGATGTACATAGGTAACTGAGAAGTACATACACGTATTTACACTGGAAAGCTGGAGTTATGATGGTCTCTTCCAAACTCAAAGCTATTAGCTGAATTTAGTCACCTTTTATTATACCTATTGCATATGACCACTCCCAGATCTTTAAACAAATATTTATTCTTTTAATTAGTGATATTATCTTGTATCAATTTGGATGTTCGGTTCTGCAGTCATTCATCACACAGAACAGCACAATGCTCTGGGAGCAATTCTACTAGAAATATAATTACATCAGCCGAACACCGAACGTAAGAGGATATGTTCTGGAGAAGTACAGTCATGGTCCTTAAAATGTTTTAATAAATGAAATATTCAATATTCCTGTATTGTTGGATGATCTTGCACTCAGTGAATAGACAGCTAGAGCTGTATTTCCGTCAGGAACAGTTTTGAATTAAAGCACCACTTCAAAATAAAAACGCCTAAGTTTGGATTTCTTTTTCCCCATGTGTATTGGAGGTAGTATAAACCTTTTGGCAAATCTCACAATATCCATGTATGATGCCTCCATTGCACCTGTGCTTTTCCTTACAGCAAGATTTATACAATGTATGAGAAGGTGCCAAGCCATCCTAACAGATGGGCGTGAGAACAGAAAAAGAGGAGGCTACACGTAAAATGTGCATGAAGCGTGTTCTGCTGAAGCTGAGAAATTTCTAATAGTGAAACCAATGTGGACTATTTGTGGACAATATTCAGTAACCAGGAAAAAAATAAAAGGGTAGAACTGAGAACCTGGCAAAGATATTACCTGTGACAAGCCTTTTTAATTGTGGTTTGGGAGATGATGGCTTTTGCTGGCATTCATTTTGCTTATATTTATTTTTAAACTTTATACATCAGTTCATCAATAATTTCATTGAAGTAATGATTAAATGGGAGTAAAGTACTCTTTTCAGAAGCAGACGTCTTAATTGAATGCTAGAATTAGGTTCACAAGTCCCCTTGTGAAACCATGTCCATTTTTAAGGCGTTGTTTATACTCAAAATTCTTTTCAACTGCCACAAAGACTGCAGACACTGAAAGTCACTTACATCCACCCTGCTTGTTATAGGTGACTGTAGAATGGCTTTATTTAAATAAAACATGGACAGCAGCTCCCAAGCCTGTAACAGGCTATTGGTACTTTGCCTGACATCTTTTGGTAAAGCATTGCTGATGCAAGTGGCCAGCCAATTTTCCCAGGTGCAGTGGTTTCTGCAGGCTAAGGACCTCGGGTTGTCCTGGCTGTGTTCCCATCTGAAACCTAAGACCACTTAACTCTGTGACCACGGAGACATGCTGCTGGATTCACAGACCTTTCCTACTGTCCCTCAGCATGTGTGGCCAGATCTCATGGGCTCCGTAGTGGTCCTTTTACCAACTCAAACCTATTTCTGTGCACTTTAGCCTGCCATCTTTGAAATAAAGATAATAACTATGTCTTCATTCACACAGATGCTGTTACTGTAATTGCACTGCAGACTATAGTGCTGCAGTAATGGACACCACATAGTACCAAAGATGACATAATAATATCTACTCCAACCAGCTTATCTGCTTTTTAAATACTGTTAGGATGTGACCCTGCTCTCTTTGGAATCAACAAGAGGTTTTGCACCGGGTTTGAAAGAGTTGAGACCTGTCCATATGGAAAAAATGCCTACTGAAGAGATTGTTTTAGTGGCTTTATGCCAGATCAAGAAAAATAGTGCAGTCTTTCTGGATCATATTGCACATGTCTCTGTGCTGGTCAAAATATGCCACTGAAAGTTTCACTGTGATTAGAAAGGAAGGCTCTCCAGGAAAAGTCGTGATTTTTCTGCTGCAACAAAGTGAGTTTGTCCAACTTTGCTTTCCCCGCTGGTCTCCAGGAGATTCACCAGGATTTGCCTAACCTGATAAATGCAGTTAAAGGAGACACCTTACAGCTTTGTACTGCTTTGCATTTTTTCACTTGGTTAATCACTTCCTCTGATGTGTATCGCTAACCTGCTGCTACTTCCATGTGCCTGTGTGAGATCCTAGCTAGCGAGCTACTCCTCCAAGTTACTTAGTACTTGGAGTCAGGGAAGGACAAACATCAACTGTTGTTTCATGATCTGAAATTCAGATTATGAAAGGACCAGGTAAAGGAGAGATTCTGTGCAGTGACACCAAGTCTGGACACCTCTGTGGTGTTCTTTGTTACAAGAGATGTAAGGTAATTGCTGAACCAAGGCAGGCCCCAACAGGATGCCAAGATGAACTATTACAAGGTGACAGTATAAGCTGCAGCTTGTTGTAGGTGAGTTAGACAAGACACTGTGGTCCTTACCCAGCATGGCCACTGACTGCTTAGCAGAAATTGTTCATTTACACAAATCAATGCAGTACAAAAGAGGATCTTTTGTTCTTTTGTTTTCCTGAGCTCCTAACCTGCCTCTGGGACCCACCTAGGCTGAGCCTCAAAGCAAGACTGTTCCCATCTTCTGTGTCCCTTCAAGTACTATCCCCCTACTCCTTTCGAGGCGTACTGGGCTTTACACCTACAGTGTGCAGGTGTTCTTCCTCCAAGCAGGACCTGGGGCCTCTGATAAATCCAGCTACAAGTAGGAGCTGCTCAAGAAGGAGGTGAGCATATCACAGATGGAGGAGAGGAAAGGCAGTGAGCAGTCCAGCTCCAGGTGCAGGTACGTCAAACAGGGCTTGGCCCAGCCATTCCTTCTTGAGCCTAACAGCATCCTCAGCTTCCTGAGCAAAAGGAAGTTCTTCAGGGGGAACTTCACTCACATTTGTGGGGCTTTCTGGTTCAATTTTACACCACGTAAAGGTGACTTAATTGGACAGATGGTTAAGCTTCTCATAATATGGCTATAATGTAGGTATTGTGATTTATCTACATTGGAAGAGAAACTGTGTAGTCTTGCATCTTCTTGTTTTCTTTGCTTTACATCTTGTTAATTATACAAAGACATGTCTAAATGAAAACTATGAAGTGCAAATCTGGAATTCAAATATTTGACCGTTCCACAGGTTAGAAAAAATAAATTTGGTGTTTTAGATCAAGAACACTTCATTGGATACTTCCCTGGCCGTAATTGCAGGGAAAAATGACAGACCTGGGCATCCAGTTGTTAAAATACATGATATTTAAGATACTTAGATAGCCCTCAGACGTCTTTAAAGTATTCTTCTGATCTTTGAAGTATTTGCACTTGCCTGGTGTGGTAGAGCACTGCAGTTGGTTTGGCAAGGAGAGAAGAGAGCGCTATTGTGAGATGAGAACTGCATTCACCTAGGATTTTACTGCTGGAAGTCCTGGCAGTGTGCTTGGGTCTGGGAGTGGCCACTGTCCCCCATCGGGCTGCTACCTGGGTCTCTCTTACAGAGGTGGGGCATGCTGCTTTTCACTTTCCACTGTTAACTCAGGTAAACGGATTTTTAAAGAACTGTTTCTCTGTGGGGCTCAGGTGCTTGTCTTCCTTTAGGATTCATAATCATGAACTCTATTCTGGAACAAGGTGCTTTAAGCACTTCATTTAAAATAGAGATAAGGGTTCTTGTCTGTAAAGCAGGGCCAGCACTGAGTGCAAAGGCAGACAGCTTTGTATTAATTTTCAAGGACTTAGAGCACTTTCCTAATGTAGGAAAGGTCCCAGCTGGATCACTTCTTATTTACAGAGGCTTCAAACATACCTCTTCTTTTCTTGGCCACCAAAAAGAAAGCTATGCCCGAACAGAGATTTGAACCTGCATCTATGATTTTCAGGTTGTTTCTCTAATCACTGGAACATCAGAACAAAAGGAAAAAAGGTGCTCAGTTGGACCACAGATCAATTTAACCCACTATCTTACTTTGAAGTATATGTAATTCTTCGCCATGTGTTTTCCAGTCTCTACACATTTTCTGCTTCATGGGCTTAGTGTTATCTCTATGTATTTAGCAGCTCTTACTGGATTTCTCTTCCACAAGCCTGCCTAGTCTCTGTTTGAACCTGGGTGGACTTTTAGCTGACATCATCAGCTTCTGTTAGACCTCATCAGCTTTCAAGAATTTGTTCTGTTCCACTAGTTACTACATGAAAAAATCACCTATTTTGTCTATTTTGAACATGGGCTTCTGCTAGATTGTTCTATTGCTCCTCTGTATCTTGTTCTGCGAAAGGTAGCAAACAACTGATTTCTACTCACCCTCTCCTTGCACTCATAATTATATAGACCTCTATCATTTCATTCCTCATTTGTCTCTTCTAGACCAGGTAGGGCAGGATTCCTTGGCCATTTTTTATAAGGAAGCCATTCCATGCCTCACCATACTTCCCTTCTAATATACTTTTCTAAAATATGTGCTTTAGGAGTGCTGCTTTCATTGATGCAGATGATTAAAGGATATTATATCTGCTAATCCTGCTCTGGAATAGGTTTATTTCAAAACCAAATTAAAAGCATGTTTCCTTGCCTACAGAAATAATATTTTAGGCATAGCTAGGGGCAGGGCTAGAAGATTATGTGTAAGGAAAAGAGTGTTACATCTGTTTAATCGACTCACAGTAACAACTCACCTGACCTCTGTTATTCAAGTTAAAGTGGAGTATTCAGGAAATGCAGCATTCAGTGGTTCCTAAGTTTTATGAATAGTTGACAGGATATTGCCCTAAAATATTTATTGGTACCAGTGCTATGAATAAAAAAAACCAAACTCTGTCCTCAAAATTTAACTCTGTTGCTCAGCTGCTGTGTGATGAAAACATATAAGGACCACAGCAGATGAACAGATTTATGAATTTTTAGGACTGATAAATTTGAAGCCTTGCAACTTCCACTAAATTAATGTATTATCTGTGTCCTCTGTGCATTTCACTGGTGTAGGTGAAATGTCTAGTTCCTTTTAAATTGATCTCAAGACGCCTGTTGCTGTCAGTGAAACTAGCTTACCTAGCAAGGCCATCCTGAAACAAGTCTCAGTCTTTATCTGAATGGCAAGCAGGCCAGTGCTGAAGTCGTAATTTTCATTGAGGAACTCTCATTTACTCTCCCATTTATTCTCTTCCATGTTCTGACTGCTTGTGCCCTAAAGTTCTGCTTTAAGAACTGAAATGCAAGAATAATTTGTGTTTCTTACTATGTCACTTGTGTTCTAATACATCTAATCCAATGTGAAAATATTCCTATTTTGTTCAAATTTGTTCATGTTTTCAAAACTTAGAGGAACATCTGCTTGAGCAAAAAAGAAAAAAAGAGAAAATAAATTCACCACTTTTTATCACTCTAATTTTTAGTTAAGACTTATCAAAAAATACCTCAAATGTTTCCCTTTACAAGAATAAGAAAAGAAGGGTGAGAATGGAAGAAGAAACACATTTCCAGATCAACTTATGAGACAACAAACAAAGAAAGTGCACCTTTCTGAAGTGACACGGATTCTTTCATCATTGGAGGAATTGAATCTGTCATCCTTTTCTCTAAAATATTCTTCTATGCACTGCTCTTCAAAATCATGGACTTTTTTCAATTCATCCTCAGTTATGAAAAGTTCTGTGGAAACAATGGAAAACAGGTGAATTTGGCAAATATTAACACGTGAAATTAACGACATTCTTCTTATTGTGGAACTCATGGACTAAACATTCACAAGCAGGCTTCAGATTTATCTGGCATTTTGGTATGAAAGCGGATAGATGCAGCTAATTACCAAATTAGTGGCTTCAATTATATATGATTCTGTAGACAGAAATACTTAAGGCAAATGCTGAGCAAACATGAATGTGTTTTGATTGCATGAGATCTAAACACAGCTGCTGGTCAGGTCCTGGAGAGATGGTGTGAACCAAGGCCCACCTGTAACCTAATACAAATATAATCAAATTAGCAGACTGCTAGGAAAGGAGTCTGAGAGTACAGAGGGTCTATCTGATATGGCAAGAGCTGATATCTGCAGGCAGCAGTTGTATCTCCAGTGCCATCGCATGGCTCCAGCTCCCTCTTTACAGGGAAGTGGGCTGTGGCATGGGCTAATGTTGGGAAGAGATGCAGATGCCTTAGCTCCCTGCCTCTGTCATATATATTTGGGGAAGCGGATATCTTCCACTTTGAAGAACTAGATAGAGAAGAGTAGAGAAAGTGTTATCAAGATAATCTGACAGGTTTTCCATCATGCTTATGGAGGCTCGTATTAAAGCGTCTGGAGAAAGTACTCCTCCAGTCTGAGACAGTGTCACAAGGAGGCAACATTTGTCTACAAAATAATTACTTCTTACCATCTCTCATCTTATCTAGGCAAAAAATGTGCTGGGGGGAAATATGTACTGTTTGCTCAAAAAGTAGGAATTCTCTCTCTGCCTTTGCAGAAATAAAACTGAGATCTGGAAGTGCGATGGACTGTAAGAAGAATTCCAGCAGTAGCAGACCTCTAGCAACAGCAAAACAAACCCCTTTGCTTTGAAGGAACGAAGGAACAACCCAAACATTCCCAGAAAAACATAGCCACGTTAGTGCTCTGAGGAGAACTAAGGGTTGGGTAATGCAGATAACACTAACTAATTCAGGTAAGATTTCTGCAGTTAAAAGTAGTGCTCTGCTGGAAAGGTTATCAAGGTGCTGGCCTTCATTCACGTCAAACACTAGATATTACCCAGGGCATTCAAAAGTCCCACTCTGTAAATTGTCTAAGGCTTACTCAATCCATAGTCTCTCTCATCTGGGTCGCTTTCATGCTTCCGCCATCTGCAGCAGAGGTGTTGGAATATCATAGTCATGTGGCTGAAAATGATCAGAGGTGGTGGGAGAACAGGTCTTTCATGAAATGTCATGATTAGCTGGTATCTTTGAAATTTCCATACTTGGTTGGATATGGATTTGACTTCAAAAAATGTATTGCTAGAAGGCAAGAAGAGAAACATAACATCAGATTGAAATGGTTTCAGGTACTGTGCCAAAGACGATATAAGAGCACCCTAACCAGACACATTTCACTAATAGTGCCAAGTGTTTTCTTGTCGCAAAAAGAGGAAGAAGATCAAAAGAAATTTTTGCTTCAGAAAAGCACAGTGGCAATCAGTATCTTACTACTGTGTACGTCTGCTCTGTACAAACATTGAGTCTTAAAACAACCCAATGACCCACAAAGTATTTTTATTCTTGTTTTCCATATCACCATGGGAATGAATGATGCCATGACTGAATTTGAAATCTTTTGAGTGCTCTGCCCTCTCGGGTTTCTGTTCCTGGAAATGAAGCAATGTGAAGAATTTGGCATTTCCCTCATTCCCTGGAGACAAGCTATTGCCTCTTTTCCTCTCACCCTCATATCCTCTGAAAGTGAGCCTCAGCCAAAGTCTTCAGTTTAGCAGTCTTCTTAGGTTGTGAATAATGTCCACCCCTCCCAAATCCGTACTTTGCAACATGTCACTCACTTGAAAACAGCAATGAGGAGGTTCACCAAAAGGATGTTTGCAACCAAGAGGTAACAGGCCATGATGGCAGGAACGATCCATGCTCCTGTCTTGCAGGGAGGTAGCTGGATTATTTTGCCATCTTCTCTGGTTTCATTTTGACCACAAGGAGCTGGGAACAAAAATGCAAAAAAATGCAAAATGGGAATGAATCTTATTTTTTCAGTGTTTTCGTTTTTTTTCAGAAATATTTTAATATTTATAAAGGCCTGCCTTCCAAAGCAGTATCTTCCAAATAACAGTGGCATTGATGTATATAAGAAGTGTGCACTTGCTATCACAGATTTTACAAGCTGCAGTTCTTGTTATTGTGTGTTATTTGCCATGAGTATCAAGATACTTGCCTCAGAAATTGCAGGAGACACGCCTGGTGTGAGTAAGCTGCCTGGTTGCATACAGCTAAAATATTACAGTACCCTGGTAGTAATTAGTGGCTGTGCAAATAAATTGATCAAAATGTTTAATCCTGGAAAAAAACCAACTTGTGTATTATTATTTTAATGGTCAAAGATTTGTCTTTTTTGATTGATGGAGGCAGATGTGATAAACAGCATAAGGAAAAAGAAGTACATGAAAGTAAATTAAAAAGCAGACATTAATTGCTGTGGACTGCACTGCCCTGAGCCCCCCCTGGGACATACTCATAATGACCCTCTGCTATTAAGGACTTTTGACTGCATGCCTAGAAACAGTGGGGGAGATTATCAAGTCTTTACTGTAACAGGTAAAGGGACATGTCAGCAGCAGAGTTGCCACCTGTTTCTTCCCTGAATGCTTTGGAACCAAAGCATTCTCAGTATTAGTGTTGTAGAAGTGAAGCAAGGGGAGAGAAAACATTGTGCAATAGTTTTCCTTGCTTATTTTTTCACATGCCTTCATGTGCCGTAGTGGGTGACCTGCAAGCACGGCTCCAGTTTATGTCTTCCTAGCCTCAGTCCTAGTAGTCCTAAGTATGTCTGTAATCAGCTCTTCAACAAAACAGTTGAAGCAGCAGCTTACATATAAAAACCATTTTAGTAAGTGCAGAGCTACAGCTAGCTCCACCTTGTTGCCTTCAAAAAGAAGTTTAAGTGAGGGATTTTCAAAGTACTCAGCCGCTGATATCAATGAGAGCTTCCCACTGACTTCGTAGACAACAAAGTTTGCCAATGATATACGTTTTGTAAATTTCCAGCCTATATCAACAACTTATTTCCAATACCTGTTACTATTACTTGTTCTCAAAAAGGTGCTTCTGAACTTCCCTTATAGGACATGGGGTTCAACTGTGGGTGTCCGTATTGGCAATCATATGATATTATGTGTGATTTGGGTACTTGGTTTGGGCACTACATATAGCTGTTAGGCTATTACATATAGAAATATTATGGCCCTATGGCACAGAAGAAAACATGATACATTAGCTTTGAACATGAACTCTCCCAAAATGTTCAGCTCACAGAAAAAGAAATGGCAAAGCCAAATACAAGCAATACTACATTTATAGGCAGCTCTGTTGTGTTTGGACCCATGTTGTCACTAGTCCTTCCTACTTACAAAAATACATTTTATTACTGGAACAGGCTGAGAGCATGCAATTCTTTATTTCTCAGAAAGCATCACCTTGCAGATTGTTTTAAGTTAGTGATGATTTCATGCTTCCCACACTGCTCCAAACAGTGTTTTCATTCAGATGTTCAAAATGCCATCTGTGAGCTGCTGTGTGGAACTATGTGCACTCAGCCGTCACCCAGTAGAAACTGGGACATTCAATACCTCTTGGTATCAGCACTCACCATGAGACTTACATTTCTGTTTGTGTGGAAACACTAACTTGCTTACATGTTGACTCAGAACTACAGAGTCCAACACAACACAGTAGTGAAACCCATCATGATTTCACCAGCAGTGGAACAATCACGCTATCAGTTTATGAAACCTGTTGTTCTTTTGTGTGCTGAAGAACAGAAGAAATAATTTTGTGTTTTGTAGCAATGAGAGAATTGATGAAAAGCATATTTTAAACTTTAGATCAATGAGATCAAAAACTCAGTGCAAAGCCTGGTTAAAACTCTATTATCCCATTTTTTTTCTATTAAAAAAGAGAATTTAATCTAAAAAAACCTCCCAGCTTTGCCAACTACTGAGACAAAAATGATTTCTCCAGTTTCACTTGCCTACAACAGAGTATTTAGAATACCAGTAATGCATTCTGTTGGTTTATGCCACACAGTAATGGCCAAATTAGATTTCCTATAAAGACAAGTTCCCATAGTCTATTCTACACGTGCATAGGTGTTTGGTTTGTCCTGAAGGTTTGCAGGAGTTTTTAAATAACATGGGAATACTAATCTCATGCCTTACTTTATGGAGAACTAAGCCACCACTTAATGTTCACATCTTCAGCTACGTGCAAAAATGTATGATGTGTGTCCAAAATGCAGAAGCCTGGGTTCCACTGCAGATCACTGAACGTTTTCTTCCATTTTAAAACTATAACATTAATTGCAAATATTTTTTTTCCCCCACCATTAAATAAACTGTTTGTTTAAAATAATTACTCCCAGGAGACCTGAAACAAAATTTTCTCTGCCTGTGAAAAAGGACAGAAGACTCTGGCAGGAGGCTAAAAGTAGCAATGATATTCAATTTAGATTATAAAGGCAATTGTTTACACTTAAGAAATTAAAATTCTGTTTGTAGAGTTCGAGAAGACTTTGTTATGGTAACCTGTGGCACTTTGGCACCCCCACTGAGTATGTAGAGTCTCAAGCACCTCTTATCTTATTGTTAGAGTAACCTGGGCTAGTTTTTGTCCCCACAACCTGCACATACCCCTGCATAGATGCCCACATGGTGGCCAGCCATGGATCTCAAAATTCAGACAACCGCACCTTCATTAGAGCAGCTAGTTCACTGATGAGTAAAACAGGACAGAGCATATGAATCCTATGTTAAGCAGTGCAAGTGCTTTTCCTCAAGCAGACGTCAGGTCCCCATTTGATTAGCGGTGGTGTCCCGGGGCTCCCACTGTGGTAGTGCTGTGATTCCCACAAATCCAAGGCTTTCACTCACTGGGTGCTATGCCTTGTCCCTGACGGACCCACACCTGCCTTTTGTGTGTAACACGATTTGACCACTTTAATTATGTTTGGAGAAGTGAAGCAATTTTTGTAGTATGTGCAGGAACATACTGTGATAACAAATTTTTTCAAAGCACAGTTTTAACTTGTATGAAAGCATACTCATCATTTTACATTACAGCCTTGCTTTGACAAAAGATTCATAGAGTAGTACTTAATTCTAGTGAAATGTGTTACTGAAGCAAATTCTGTTAGTGTAACTATATGCCTGTTTCAGGTAACTGAAAAACCCAATCAGTCCGATACCTACAGGCCACTGGATAAGGGTCAGACGTGAAGTCCTGAACTCAGGCTTTAGAAAATAATAAATGGCTGGAGTTTGAATTTCAATTACACGCATTAACGTCACTCAGCTTTCAAATATTGCATCCTGACATCTGTGGATGTACATTGTTTTTCTCATCTCTTGTTTCCCTTTTCACTCCTAGGCTTTTTTTTCCTTTTTGGCTCCTATTTACAGTTTCCCGTATGGGCCTTTCCTGCTACATACCGAACTCTTCCTCTTTCCTGGCCAGCAAATAGTTGCAAAGCAAACAGCAGTAACCCATGCCTCTGTGCCTTTCAGGCCTGAAGCGGCAGCAGAGCACAGGAAGAATTTGTTTCCCTGCTGTAATTACTGTCGTGACATGGGCAATGCTCATTTATACCGTGTATTGGGTGGAGGGCTTGGGAAATAACGTTTGCAAATTTCTGCGTCATGATTCTTCCCCCAGCTGCGCCCTCCCAAAGTAGTTGTGGGAAATAATGGAGAGAGGAAAGTATATAATTGAACCGCTTTGTTACCAAATAGCTTTTTGCCTTTTAAGAAAACTTCACCTGGAAAAATGGATAACACTGTTACAATACAAGTTGATTTGTTTGAAACCTCAAGAAATTACAGAATGAGTTCATATGGTCACGATTCTAAAGAATAAGGAAACCAATAAGTGAGTATTAACTAACACACCAGTCCATCTTTTTTTTTTTTTTTTTTAATTATTTTTTTTTATAATTCATATCCAAGACATTTTGTTTTTCACTCCTTCTTAAAAAAAAAAAAAAAATTATGTGACCTTTTGCTTTTGGCTAAACACATTGTACCCTTTATTAATTTGTAGGGTTTTAACCAATTTATTCACAGACTTATTTAGGTTGACTGTTTCAGTCTTCCCAAATCTAAAAAAAAAAATGAGGTTTTAATAAACACCCCATCCCTTTTTTTTTTTTTTTTTTTAATTATTTTTTTTTATTAGAGTCTGGACATTTTACAGGCACTGTCATCACCATTTTTATAAGTATATAGGAACCTTCCAATTTTGATCTACACTGAACCCAAAGGATGTGAAAACATTTTATGATTTTTTAGTCAAATATCTAAGCACCCTTACCAGCTTGCCAGGTGGTAAATATTGAAAAAGGCTAAGTGAGCTGCCTAGGGCTGTCCGGTGCTTCACTGACAGAGAAAATATTGAACTCTGGGAACTCTGAATCTCACACCATTGCTCTGTTCATCAGCAAAATTATCCAGGGAATCGAACAGTTTCTCATTACTTCAAAAAAGTTGCTTTAACTACAGCATCGTAACCTTACATGTTGCTTCTTGCCCTCAGCCACATTAAAAATTACTTTGAAGTGTCTCTCCAACCTGCTGGTATATTAATAATAATTTATAGTAAATTTTCTTGTTCTCTCTAGTGCTTTCTCCCTCCTCCTACCCCCCACCTTAAAAATATCCAACTAAATGGAACCCAAAATACAACCTCAAAGGAGTTCTAGGAAGCGGAATGCTACAGCAACTTAGCCCAGAGAGACTTTCAAAATGGTGTGTAGGCTGTGTGCAAATTCTATCCTCTATCTTTGTCTAACGATGCTAAAAATATTGCCTGTGCTTCAGAGGTGCAATACAGATTAAAAAAAAAAAAAAAATAAAAAAAAAAGGAAAAATAAGGCACAGGTATGATTTATTCTGTTTTGTGCAAAGCTGCTCTGATTTTTCTAATTCCAGAATGATCCATGCAAATGACGGTCCTTACAGGAAGCTTACATGGAGACATGAAAAGCATGAAACGTCTAAGATTGTATAGAATTTAGTATAAAATTTCATTTATACTATGAAACCTTCAAGAACTTAAAAAAAATATAAATCTAACAGACTAAGACATTTGAAGAATTAAACTGAAAGTATTTTCTAGTAATTGGGCCTTTCAGCAACCAGGTCTACTGGGAGGTGTCCCTGCCCATGGCAGGGGGTTGGAACTAGATGATCTTTAAGGTCCCTTCCAACCTAAACCACTATATGATCCGATGATTCAAATTATACTTTTCTCAAGTTCACTGGAGAGTTAAAACCTGTGTATAATCATCTCTCATCTTCTGAAACTGCATTCTGGTTACTTGGCATTCCTCCAACACAAGTGAAAGAGAAGGAGGCCACATCTTTGTCTCTTAAACTATGTAGGTTTTTCCAGTAAGGGAGTAGGTACAGGGAATAAATGCAACTCAGACTGATCTTCAGAATCCAGATGGCTTTTGATATACTGTCAGCTGGAAAGAAAATCCAGATGCAAATCTGACATGTGAGACACCAGACAAATCTGAAAAACAGCCCAAATCAAAACCCCCGAACTCATGTTGGCTAACAGCACTCTCAGTTTCTTTGCCTTCTGAATATAGGAAAATGTGAGGTCAGCTACTGATTTTCTAAAGGTGACCACCATTTCTCAAGTTGCCATTTATGTTATCTATCTGCATTTCTTTACCAAGCAGCCTCACTCCCTGAATAATCCTTTCCTCTTCTGTATGTCTTATATACTTCATTATCCATAAGCTTGGTAAGATGAAAACAAAGTTCTTTGCATGTGACAACTGTGTTGTAATATTTTTTTTCGGCTAAAATTGCTAGCAATAGTGAAAAATTAAGTGAGGTGAACTGATAGTCAGGAGTTTGTAGGAATGTAGTATTTACGTACATCACTGATAATAAGCAACAACACTCAACAGTGTATTTATACTCCCAGAAGTGAGGATATAATTCTATCCCCACTTTTGAGTTGAAGATGAGATCACATGGCAGCAGGACACTAATGCACACTCCAGTTAACATATATATTCAAAAAATGAAATGAAGTTATGGGTAAAACTGTGTATAACATGCATTATTTTAGAGTGAGGCATTTCACTAGTGTTTTAACAGTGCAGTGTGTTGAGATAAAAATCAGAGTAGACCCACTGCATGAACAGGCTGCCAACTGATGAGATGGATCCAGACATTGTATCTGGTCAGCCTTAATGGCATACTTCACAAACCAACAGAAAATGAAAAAAAGAAAGAAATGTAAGTTGGAAATTTTAGAGTAGCGTACTTTCTCAGACAGTAGGTTAATCTCCTGGAGTGTGGCTTAAACATATATACACTTCCAAGAACAGCACTTTTGCTGAATCTCAAGCTTGCAAATAATGTTGCAATATTAAACACCAAAATGTAAAGAAAAACATTAAAAAAACCCCTTTTGGTTTGCTAAAATAATGCTAATAAAAAAACCCAAATCTGCTCCAGGCTATAAAGTTCAATTGCAATTGCAACTGTAGCATAAGAATTTCAGAACATACCTACCTAATTTGAGAAAGTACAAACACTGTAGTACTCTAACATGAATACAGTGGCTGATTTAGCTTAGAACAACTTGGAAAATATGTGTAACAACAAATTTCCAAATAGTGAAAAAACACAAGTATACTAGTAAAACCTTTTGGGTGCCAATCAGGTAATTTTGATTGTATAACAACATGACCAACCATTTGCTCATGCTCCCTGTCTATTCCAGAGGTAACATTTTTGAGACAACCGAGCCTCAGACAGACATGACATATTGCACATATTTTGTGCTGAAAGAGTGGCAGATTCTAGTTCCCTGAATCATCTGTCTCTCAGGAAGGAGGAACTAGGTGCTGCTTTTCATTTTGGCATCACCACTTTGCTGCAACTCCTAGTTTCCTTGATGCAGACAGAACAACAACGTGTCTTCACTTATAGCCATCAGGAATTTTGCTTTCCCTGAACCTTAAAAGTAAATACACTGCATCTTTTTGCACAGTTTAAATGTTCAGCATCTGAATGACACACAAGATTACCCTTAGATCTTCATGCAAAGGCATGGAGCCTGCCACCCTCTTCTCATACTTGAAAACCATGCTTCATTTAAAGACATTTTTTTAAATCAGGTTTTGGGATTCTAAACTATAATCAGCACTTCATTAAAAAAAATACCAAGAACTTTCTATTCAGCCAAATTGCCATGTTTGCTGCACTATGGTAGTTACTTAGTACAACATCAATAAATGGCCACTTGTAGAGGGACAAATAGAGTTCTGCTTGTGGAAGGAAGTCATACTTTAATGGGATAAACCTTTATCCCTCTATTATGCTTTTGGAGAAAGACAAAGTTTATATCTCCAGCTATTATGCCTTTGGAATGAAATGATCTAAAAAAGAAAAAACAAAGAAAAGGAAAAAGGGTAAAAATGAGGGAATTGGGTAAAAGCTAGGCTCAGTGAGAAGGTTTATGATTTTAGGTATTTTTTTATTTCCTTGCATGCCATGCAACCTCTGAAAACAAAGTGGGAAAGTAAACGTAAAAAAAGAGGTTTTGTCTGTATCCACACTAATGATTCTGTACTAACCAGGACGAAGAAATGAACATGGAACTGCTGAAATATCTGCCATGTGATATATATATTCATCTGTCCATCAGAAACTCCATTAAGTTGGGGGGCATTATTGGTGATATAGATACATTTATTACCTTAACCAGCTCAGGAAAAATCAACACGATTTTTCCATTCAAACTTGGTCAATACTGAACAAGTAGATGATAAATTATGAAAACAACTGCCCTTTCCTAAGGTGGTACATAGACTAAAAAGGATTACCCTGAACAGAGCTTTAATGGATGCCATCTGCTACTGGAAAACATACTCACTTCTAAAAGCTGCCAAGACTTACACATATTTAAGTAGGAATGATGAACATCAGCCGCATGTCAGTGTTTGCTAAAGATACATTGTTTGTGATTCTGAGTTTGTTCATCTACTGCATTATTTCTCATGACCACCCCTCTCCTTTGGCGTAATGCACCAAGTCCCACCAGGAGGTTTAATTTAAATAGAAAACTGGCATTTTCTTGATCGCCAGCCAAATGAATCCTGAGGAGATAGTATATGAAATACTGGCTTTTGTTCTGCTTGAACTGACGTGAGCACAGTCTTGCCTTCCAATAACTAAATAAAGCAAAATTCTAATAATGGATCTACTGTCCCCAAGGAATTGCATCACATGGTTTATCATAAAGGTGGTGGCAGTGAGAAGGTAACAGAGAAAAGAAAACACATCGGATTAGATCCTTAAGAAGTGCAGGAGCCGAAGGTCTAACCCGCTATTATTAGACTTGATGCTACAGTATGAAGTTAGGTAAAAAGTACTTAGGACTAAAATCAAACCAATGGATGAGAAAAAAACGAAGTGACTTTTTATGTCCCAGGTATACCAACGAACTCATGATGGATACCTGGGATGTATCCCACTGTATACCTGGGATACCACCCAACTGGTAAAAAGGATCGATTTAAAACTTTCTTTCTATGCAAGATAATTTAGCATTACAGATTTCTGGTCAAATAATTGCGAAGTGATGCCAGAAGCATGTTCTGAAACTATCACCCCAATATTAGGTGAAAAAATATCTTCATGACCATTTTCTGTGACGAAGGAGTTCCTCTATCCTGAGCCATTTATTGAGCACACACACATGATCTAAGAGGACATCATCTGATCAAAGTTGTATACCTGACTTTGGAGTATGAGAATCATAAACTTGCTTACGGTCTATCTGGTCTGCAAACACTTCCCCATAGATCATCCAATAAGGCATGTAAAATATGTTTTTCGCCAGCTTCCACGAAGGTTCCTCATTGGGGAAGAGAATAGCCTGTCTTGCGACACCAAAGCTCATCAGAACCACCAACATGATGATGACAAAGTACATCATATCTATCATCTGAATGTAATGACAGAAAAAGAGAAAGAGAGAAGGGACAAGAATTAGAGGAACTTATTTATCCATATTCCTATCATTATAAGCTGCAAAAAAAAATTGTAAATCTTAGAAACAGAATTTTCAAACCCAAATTTTGAAAAAACCATTCTCAGTTTTACATGTAACAAATTTCATTTTCAAAGAAATTCAATGGTATTATTGTGTCCTTGGTTTTACCCAGTGTTGCTTTTAAGACAATTTAAATATCATGAATAGGCTTGAAAATACGAGATACCATCTGGTCATACCAGTTGCCTGATCAAGAATATAGGTTCAATGGAATCAGCAGCCTGGTCTGGGCAAGGATCATGAGATGATGTATTGTTTATAGGCACCTAGTGGCAACTGTACCAACACAAAAGGTCTAAAATGGATTATTTTATTCACTGGTAGTCATTGTCTTGGAGAAAAGAAAGGAAGCTGCATCTAACATAAGGAGTAACGGGTGGCAGAACAGCCTGTTACTGCAACATAAGGGACACCATGGTGGTAACCAGTGAGAAAGCGAAGCTGTGATACTGGCTGGACTAGAAATCAGCTTGGTGGGGGAGTCTGACAAAGGCCATATTTAAAAAAAAATAGATGCAGATAACACAGACACCGGACTCTATTCTTATCCATTGTTGAAGGCCTCATTAGCATATGCACAAGATTAATTAGTGCTTGCAAACAGTGCCTACCCATTGAAAATGTTTCTGGAAAAAGTGGGACAGCCATGACAGGAGGTGCGGAATACAGGCTGAAGATTAGAAAAGGAGCTGTGCTAGAAAAGACCCTCGAGAGACAAGAGCAATGGGCATCAAGCAAGTACAGTAGAGATGCTTTATAACCCAAAATTAATGTGAAAAAAAACGGGAGTCTTGTAAAGTCCCTGGTAAGATCCCTTTAAAACCTTTAGTTACAGGCTTATTTATAGGTCTTTAGTTATAAGACTTGTTACGACAGGGCTGTTCTTCACACCTCTGGATGTAACTTTTGTTTCTGGCCAAAATGGACCCCAAACTCCTCTAAAATTTAGGAGTATTAATCCCTTCAGCCTCTGCTTTTTCTGGCTCAGCTGCACTTTGCCTTCCCTGGGAGGCAGGTGTGTGACCAACCGGCACCTCAACTGGTGGTCTTCTTGCTCCATGGGGGGCCTGCTGCAGCTCAAGAGCTGGTGAAAGAGGGGACTCACTTGCAGCAGATGGATATGGCACTGCTGTGGGGGCTCTTCAGTTTTAAAGAACAGGGAGACAGACCTGAGGTCAAGGTGAAACTGGGAGAGCTGTTTAACAGAGGCATACAGAGGAGCAATCAGAAGAGGATATTCTCATTTGTACCGAATGAGAGGCTGTACAAGAAAGACACCGGTAGGGCAGGGCTCTGGTAGGACAGAATCAAGGAGCTAGAAAGAAGGGACTGGGGAGAAGTGAAAAAAAACAGGGGAAAACGAAAGTCTTGACATCCATTGAAAATGCAGAAATGAAATTAAAAAACCCCGAGGACATGATAGAGAAAAATAAATGCCTTAAAAGTTTAAAAACCCGACAAGTAAATCACCAACATTCCTATGTTATTTCAAGCATGAATGTCTTAAAATCTAGTTGAAGAGGAATTCTATATCATTATGGCTCAGAGAGTATTCTGAAATGGGAAAGCTGCATAATTACACCTGGTCTTACTGCTTTAGGGAAGGAATTTGGAGCCAAAACCTGGATCCTCCGTTCTCTGGTGTAATTTTATTCCAGGTAGAAATACATAACATGATATGATGTAATGTGATACCTATTTTAAAATGTCACGCAAACAAATGAACATGAGTATTTGGTGGCCATTTAAGACAATTTCTTAAATGCTTCTAGTGTTTTTGATCAGGAATCACACAGGTTTGACCTTGCTGCAAGAAATAAAATTTTCAGTGCTATTCTCTATTCAAGCTGCATATTAGCTTTTCCCTCCTTTAACTGGATATCTTTGTAAAACTTTAGTAGCTTGTCTGAAATCCATTGAAATGGGTGAGTTTCCACTTACTCTAATGGGCATTGTATCAGGCCCTTTGGCCTGTTGGGTCAAATTCTAATTGCTGGTTCAGCAAGAAAATGGCCATTTTGATCATTCTAAAGACTTCATTAGTGACCTATTTAAAAAAGTGATAAAATTAGGAACTGTTGATGTGGTTTTACAAACAAGCTGACTCTATTTCCCCCTTTTTAATTGCAGAAATACTAAAGAAATGTAGACATCCTCACACAGTTAGGAAACTGATACACCTCTGACTCTCTTGACATGCCAGAGTGATTTCATTTCATTCCCAAATGAAATAGGAGTAAACGTGTCACTGTGCAGACATCACAAAAGCACATTATAATAAGCACTTTCTGTTATTGAAATTAGTAGATAATAATAAACTTGGTAATTCAGCTTCCTCCTCCTATCTTCACCTTTGTTTTAGCCCATTAATTTTAAACCACACCAATCATTCCTGCCCTTGCATACTTTCACTTGCAGATTTGTTCACAGTGCCCAGAGTTAAAAGCTATTATGGCTATTTTGTTAATGTAGAAGCAGCTAAAGAGAAAGTTCCTTAACACATGGAAAGAGTAATCTTTCTCCTCTTGAGTCTAAAATTTACTCACAATAGAAGCCCAGGATAAAAGCTTAGATGTTAAATACGGTCTGTTGAGGAACTCAACATATAGAAGCACATATAACCAGCTTGATGGTCTCCATAGTACTGGATAGTACTTGCAAGGCCATGAAATTAAAAAGAGAGAACCCAAGGAGGTAAACGGACATGTGATTTAAACAAAAATACACAAGGGAGCCCACTGCAGCCTGGGCAAGCAGGTGCAACTCCCAGGGAAGTCTATGTGTGATATAAATGGGGTAGCCATTACACATGGGAATACGTTGGCCAGAAAACAGATGCAAGAGGCAGATTTGTGTAACTCAAACCAGTTGGGCACTGCATGTGTGGGCAAGGTGGACATGTCAGAGTTGCTGAGTGCACGGAAAGTTGGATGAGGTACGAAAATCAAATAACAGGAAGGCACAAAATAAAATAACTTCCCTCCTTTAACAGTTGTCCACACCTTCAGTGTACTTTGGTAGCTAAATTCAACACCCTCTGAGTGGGTGCTGAGCCTACAGAGGGTAGTGACTTTCCTGTATCTGTTTTCCACAGAAAATGGAGTGAGGCTTGATTTGTTGTACACATGTGAGGATGACAAAGGAATGGAAATTATATTATTTTGCTGATTTCAACCACTTCCTTTCTGTGTTGACCCCAGGAGAAAAATTAACCACTGTTTATACTACTGGCTAAGGTGGACTCCTTTCAGCCATACATAACACTGACTACCAGAAGTTTGTTATTCACAGCCAATGTGTTTATTATTGAACTGGTTTTCAAGCAGCCCTTGCTAGGACCACTGAAACTTTTTGTGCATGGCATTTGTGAAAAACACGAAAGAGTAGGACAGTAGTTGTTTTTTAGGGGTTTTATACACTGTGTTTATTATAAGCCACAGTGACCACCAGATCCCCTGATTGAGGGACATAATCCAGGTGGGTCAGGAAAGAAACAGATGATAATGCAATGTTTTCCCTTTGATATTTGGTCCTTGGTCCTTTCTCTTGTCCTGCTGTCCTTTAACAGTAACATCCAGCCAGAAGCCAGAACTGTTTAATGTTTTCACCTCTTGTCCTCTGGAGCTCTGCAAAATCTCTCCTATTGGCTTCCTTGAAGGAAGGTAGCACACTTTGAAATCCTGTTTGCAGGACATAATGATTCAACAACCACTTTCTTTTGTATTTTCCATCTCTCTTTTTTTTTTTTTTTTCTCCAGTAAGCTGTTCTGTTTTTGTCAAACCCACCACTGTAGGATTGGAATTGAAAGCTGGTAAATTTAAGAGATAAGACAATGGTTCTCCAATCACCTGTGGGGTGGGGAGCCTAATTGGACATATATTTTACATTTCAGTTTTATGCCTGCTTAGAATCACTGAACTTGTTGTGACTTATGTAATATCAAGGAGGGATTGTAGTCTATGCTAAGGGGAACATATATGTCCCTTTTTACTATGGTGATGAGGAAGGAAAGCAGCTGAGTCTTTTCTTTAGGTATCATGGTAAGGCAAACACAACAGACAGCTTATTTGGACTTGCTGATTATTGTCCACATAGAAGTCAGGCTGAAGTAATATTTGTTTTTAGAACAGTTAATATACAATTTACTTTTTTTTAAATGAATGCCAGCTTCGATGGTTTTTTATTCTATTTTTGAAAAAATAAATCTAACCCCAGAATGCATGAAACAGCCATGATTTACACAACAATGATGGGATAACTGCATATATAAAACATGAGCATGCATATTAGCTACATGTGCACGTACTCAAATATCAGGGACATGTGCATAGGCATATGTAAACTCAGATATTTTCTTTAACTCATACGAGCAAAATGCTGCTTTAATGCAACATTTCTACTGAAATGTAAAAAGGAAAAGCCCAAAAGTGAAAAGTTATACATTGGGCAGCAAATATCTCTTAGTTTCTCCTGTACACATTTACTATTACATAAACTATTCATACTCCTGCTGTGTTGTGTACATGTAATAATGGCCAGGGGACAGAGGCTGTAGTTATGCTAATGGATTTCTCATCTCACAGGGACACACCTGAACAAGAAAGACAGAAGAACATACGGATATGGAGCAAACTATAGAAAGGTGACAGTATTAGTCATAACCATTATAGTTTTGAACATACCGTGCCTAGTACGACACACTTTGAGAGTATCAAGGTACTAAACTTTTTTTTTTTTTTACCCTAACAACCTACCCTTCTTTACAACTAGTTAAGAATTAGCATCCTTTGTATTTTCTGCAAACAACACACAGAGGTGTGGGATGAATGGCTTTGCTCTTGAATTGAGATCTCAAAGACAGACAAGCAATACATCATCTAACAGAATAGGGAGGGTCTAATTCTCAATTCTGGGAGTCTATGCTGAGATTATGATTCAATAAGGCACTGATTTCTAGCTTACATGGAAATGGTAATGTGTGAAAAATACAGATAAATCTGCTGCGATGTCATTGGACAAAGACATTAAGTCAAGAACATGCTGTTAAAACACAGAAGGGGTACACCAACTTCTCTTACCATTTTCCCAATCATCATAACATATGGTCCCAAATACTTGTTTACTCCGAAGATGTCTAATAACCGTATATACCAGTAAATTATGTTAACACAGTATATCACTCGGCCGTCACTCCGGAGTGGCAGATCTTGCAGACGGAGCACCATTCCGACGGAGAACAGGAGGATAGCTATCAGATCAGTAACGTTCCAGTACTCCTGGAGCCAAACTTTTACTTTCTGTAACAGCTTCCCAGGCTCTGACATCAATATCTGAAGGACAGAGGACATGAAGAGGTAAGGAGCTGATCTGTCTTGACTGAAGTAATCTATAATAAACATACATACCACACAGGACAAAAGCAAAGCTGATAGACTCCTATCATACAAATATCTCACGTACTCTCTGATTTTTTTGAGAAATTTTCCATTTCAGCCATTCTTAGCCTGCACCTATGTGCAAGATACTTAAAAGAAAAAGGACAAGAACCTCACTCTAAAATCCCCATGAAGTCAGAAGAAATATACATATATCTTTCTGTTTTTTGAATTTATTGATCTTACTTAGAGTCTTGGAATAGAGGGGGAAATACAGACAGGTATTTCATCAGAAAATTCACATTTAATGAAGCTGTAGGTGTAAAGAAAATTATTTTAAAATGTGTATCAAATTGTCCAGAAATAATCAATAACCATAAACATCTGGATTCAACATTTAATCTAGAGAGATACTAGCTACTTCTTGGACCTGTTTTTGGAAAATAAATTCCACAGCTGAGAATATAATTCACAAAATTAATTAATCTTACCTTATGAATTTACCATCATTCTATTTGCTAGATCATTTGAGAGACTTGATTGTTTTCCCAAGTTACTGTTGAAAGTATTTCTCAAGTGATTTCTATGAATAATTCCTAGCTTTTAGTTAGTTAACAAGCTGTTTGTTTTAATTTTCTATATTTAGCCTGAGAACATTTGAGCAGACTCATACAGTTCCTTAAAAAGATGAATGTAATTCTTATAATTTTCTTATAATTCATTTTCAGAATTAATTTTAGGCTCATATTATGTGAACAATCTCCAACATCTGTTTAGAAATCCATTCCAACAAATGTTCTTGATAAACTTTTGTGGAAAGGACAATTTGGGGTGAATGATTAGACAAAAATGGCACACATGGCTCCTGCCAGCAGCCTCCCACCTATTGAGCCAGTGGTGCTTTGTCTCCACCAGTATTGTAGAGTCCTCATGTGATGGTGACCATTGTTTTCCTTTTTTCTTTTGGTTGGTGAAGTACACTCATTATAGACCACACAAGTAGTGCCTTTTCCTCTGTTCTTTTTACTTATAATGTAGAGTTTACCATACAGTATTTGAAATCTCTCTTTGAAATCTAAGTGGCTGTTGCAAGACCATTTTTAATCTAGTCCTCAAAAGCATTTGCTGCAGAAAATACAAATGTAGATGGTAACAAATTCAGCCCAGGGGTACAAATGTGCTGTTTCAGCTGAGGTCAGCGGGACTCGCACCCACTCACATCAGGACTGAATTTGGCCTCTGGTGTCATTGTGGAATAAATGTGCATTTGGCCAAGTGAAAAGGCCACAGCAGTAGCTGCAAGTGGGCAAGACCATGAGCAGCAAAAAAACTTCACTCTGCCTGTAGACTGAGTGCCACCTTAAAATCTCTGCTTAGGCTCTATGTGTCTGCTTTAGCATCTTTAGGGAGACGTGTGCTATTGCTTGACATAATTAGCAAAAATTTTCAAGATTTAAAGGGGGAAAACCTATTTGAAATGTGCTGCAACGTTCAATGTGGATCTAAATTTTCCCCCAGTTATACTTGGTTTTATTTAAAGTCTTTACATGAGGTATTTGAACAGATAGAACAGCTGTAAGTTTTGAATGAACTCTATTTGGTGTGGGGTGGATATTTGAACATGGGCTTTTCATTTGTCATGCTGTCACCAAAAATCCCTGTGCGTTCTGTTACAGCGTATCTCCTTCTCCTCTTCCTGAAACATACTTCAGTTTCTGGGCCACATTTCAAGGAATATAGCTGAACTTTAAGATAAGTCAGAAGATCACCCCGTACTTGTGAATGCTATTAAATCCACATCATACAGAAATCTGAACAGAGAAATTCCATGGGAGAAAGAGAAAGAAAGAGAGATATTCTTGATTTTAAAATGAAGGAAGATAGATTTTTTAGTGCTGTGTTTTTATCAATCTGCTTTCCTGCAAAAAAAGCACCATTTTTTGATAAGCCTATTCATCAAAAATCATCCTGGGAAAATAATAAAAACAGATATTAAAATGGAAAAAACATGTTTATTTCCTTTTTCATTCTGTCTTTGTGGGCTGGGGTGATTTTACCTCTCTCATCTTCTCTATTCCCAGAGTGAAAATGTACGAGATGACAATCCATTCCTGTGTAGATGGCCAGCGATCCATCTTCACTAACACTATATAATTGAACAGCATCAAGTAGCCTATATAGGCCAGCTGTAAAGAAACGAAGTTAATATCAATAGTCAATATATTTATAAAATTGAGCCAGTTTCTTGGGTATGATGTTATATTCCTAATTCCTCTGTAACCAGAGTTAAACAGACAAAAGAACAATTACACAGTGTTTTGGCTTGTCTGAAAAAGCTCACATTGTATCACATACAGTGTGGAATCTGCAAACTACATGCACAAATGTCCTCTCCTCCAGCTACATATACCTCCCCAATAAATTGTATTAATGTAGTCCCCTTGGATCATCACACATGCGGAACTCTGATACCACTACGCTAACTAAATAACCTCTTTGAACCTCACCTGCTTCTAATACCCTTTACTTCTCTAAAACCTCTCCTCTAACACCCTCCTCTGTGTTTTTTCTCCCTGTTCACCTAGCCTAGGCTGACTCTGGCATTCCAAATTGTTTTTGCACAATCCTTGCCAGGAGCCCAGAAGGTCTGAGGTGGTCCTAGGTTGCTAGAGACCTTCCTACCCAGTGTAGTACTGACCTAACCTATACCATGATTCCTCCCCCAAGACACTGCTACTCCTACTCACATTGTTGTAGCAAATAGCCAGGCAGAGCCACACAATCATTTGCCTTATATTTTTTGCAAGTTTTTACCTACAGCTGTTTTGCTTTTCCTTCTCTAGAATATCTGCCTTCTGGCTTAATTTTTGATACAGTGAAAAGTGTGGATTATGCTTTTAGTTTCTTTTTTCTTTCTGTCTACATGCCGGATGTAGTGAAATGGTCAGTCAGAAAAAAGATGAGACAGGCAAATTGCATCGTCATGTTCATAAAACGCAGAGAAACCCAAATGTCACCATGAAGCATGGACTGTAGGAAGGATGAATGGCTGTGGCTGGGGTCTGTGGTGGCCAGAATCCAACTGCCCATCTACTTTGTCTTTCAAACAGCAGCCCTACAAGAAAATGCGTCTTAAACCAAATTTAAATCAGAGAAAAGATGATTCAGTTCTGTGCATTAACATTTAAGTCATTGTTGCAGAAAACTTATTCCATACATCTGTACTTCAATACAGTTTTTCTCTCTCAACTGCATGGTACTCACAACCGTTGTGTACTTGATGTCAGATTTAAGATGAAAAAGCCACAGAGGGGCTTGAGACATTTGGGTAGGATTATTTCTGTGTTCAGCGCCTCACAGAACAGGATTTATAGTCTTGTTGTATTTGTTAGAGAATATCACTTCTGCTCTGTGTAAAAGCCACAGGGTTCTGGCTGTTCTTCCAGCTGTTGGTTTGAAGAACACTCAAGAGAATTCTTTACATTGGCCATAACTATTAGTACAGAGAAGGCAGCCAGTTGAACCCCTGCTTCTTGTCTACATAAAACAGAAGAAGAAATGATCCCATTTGTGATGATGGATTGCAATGCTCAGGTCTAGAGCTTGGTCTTCTCTTAACACTCCTAAAAGAAATGCAGAGCAATATTGACTTAGGTCAGCACCTAAGGTGTCAGCTGAGTCAGCAGAAACTCTGTCTGGGCAGGCAGAACTGGACACACACCTCCCTAGCTGAAATAACACTTTCTACTATAGTGCAAAAAGCCAGGTGATGCTGTCACCTAACACCTCCTTTCTTAGATCTTATAGATAATTAGTTATCAGCAAATTTTATTAATTTGGTCTGACTCAGCAGCCTTTGGTGAGAATGTGCAGTTAGTATGGCAAAAGAATAAGGGCATTCATGTTACAAAGGTGACAGAAACCACAAGACCCTCTGTGTCTAGGGTTTTTTGCTGCTTCTTGGTTTTGTTTTGAGGCATTACGGTTTTTGGTTTTGGTTTGGTTTGTTTTTTTTTGTCAATCCAAATTTACTGAAAATTGCTGAAAATTTTTGGTTGGCAAAAAAAAAAAAAAGAGGAAAAGCATCCTGATTTAAGAATAAAATTGTGCTGAAAGTAGACCACTTTAACACAACAAGCAAGCCATGCAGATAGTGAGTGACATCTTCCTTCTGCCTCCTCAGATGGGTAACTTGTTCCTGCCTCTCAGGAGGATGTCCTGATCCCACACTTTGTTCAAAAATCAGTACAGCTGCCCATGCTGGTACTAAAGATTCTTCGGAAGTACTACTACACAAGTAACTAAATGCTATTTTTCTTGCTTTTACGTGGTTTGACAAAGAGCTAGGGGCTGCCATTTTCACCCTTGAGGGCAATACATGAAGAAACTAAGGAGAGGAATGCCTGCTAAGAATTTTCTAGCGTGGGTTGCTCCCTGCTTTCTATGGATGCTGTCCCATTCCATAAAAAATACTTGAATACTCATTATGGTTAGGGACGAACCCGGAAACTGTACCAAAAGAGAGGTTCAAGAGGGAGAGTACCTTCCCCTGATTGCAATAATTAAATGATCATAAAGTGAAGTGGTTCCTAAATTCAAAACTTAGAGCAAAGCTGGTTTTATGTTTAGAAGATGACTCTTACTCAGGGTTCAATTCCCTCTGCAGCTACTTCTCCTCAGAAGAGGTAGAATTGTGGCCTCTTACCTCCTGCTAGCATTTTCAGCCTAAAGCTAGTAGTTAAAAGGGAAAAGCCATCCCCTTCTCCTCAAGCAATCTGTGAGATCTAACTTTTGAATCATGGTTTTCAATGCAACAGGCACAAAACGGAATGGAGTATTTGACTTTTGAAACTATGCATGTACAGAGAGAAAGGCTAAAGTTTTTTTGGTTGAGAAAAAGCTGGTTATTTTGGCTCATCGGCTGAGCCAAAATGTTACTTGCGCAAACATACCAACATTTAACCCACTCTTGTATTTTTTAAGGATGAAGGTAGACATAGCTATAGAGTAATAACAGATAGGCAGACACAGAATATTCAAATTATTTTAAAAAAGATAAAATAGCCATAAGTATAGCTACTTCCCTTGCATTTTGGACTGTGGAATGTAAAATTTTGAGGATTTCTTTTGAAATCTATGATTGTGTGCTTGTAAAAAGTGTTAAAGACTGTGCAATTTTACCCCTCATCTGAAAGTTGTTTTGCTCTTAGTCTCCAGGAGTTTCTCAATATACCCAAATGGTCCAGCACTGCAGCCAGAATCCACCTTAATTTGCTCTTCAAGTTCAGTGTAGCCAAGATCCAGCTTTAATAAGTGACCTTGATTGAGACCTGCCTCGGGACATAAAACTGTAGGAACAGGTCTAAATGGAAATGCAATATTGATCCTTTTCTCCCATTTCATAATCGAACTAACAGGGAAAGCCAGGATGCTTCTTTCTGTTTACAGTGTAAAGACTTTTGTGGTTATGCATAATACATACTGCAATTGATAATGAGACTAGGCTGCTGATGAGAAGTTTCTAGACTCATCAGCCTGATTAATGTTCAATGGACACACAGTTCATCAAGTAGTTACTCCAGGTTGCCAAATTGGAGCTTTTTGCTAGCATAAGCTGTCCACCACAGTTTAGTCTTTGTTGATGTGAGTTGTTTCTGCTCTCTGTAGATGTATTGCCTGGATCTCAGCAACACAATTTTTCTTAAAAGAAGTTGTCTATGGAAGGATGCATTCATTGTGATTTGCTCTGCATTCAGCAGAATGAAGGAAAATATAACTTGGAAGGACCACCTGAAATCATCTGGTCAATTCCACGGTGCTGAGACAGGATTAATTACAGTGTACCATAGTGGACATGTGCTTTGATAAGATAGATTTAGAAAACACTAATAATGGAAAATCTACTGTATCCTTACGCAGTTTATGACAGTATATCTCAGAGCCTTTTCCTAACATCTTACCTAGAATGGCCTTGCTGCAATTTAAACCATTACTTCTTGTCCTATTCAGCAAGGATTTGGAGATTATTCCATTTTGTTCCTCTGTGCAGCTACTTACACATATTTGAAGACTATTATGTTCCTTCTGCAGGTTTCTTTTTATCCAGAGAAAACAACCTTGTTTCCTTAAATCTTTCCCCTTAAGTTGTATTTACAGACCTCTGGAAATATTTTTCATGTTCTTTTTTGTGTCCTCCAAACCAGTTCACATGATGCAGAAGCTGTACTGGGATAGAGTATTCCAGCCTGAAAGGATTACTTTCTGTGTTCATTTTACTTTTTGATCTCATCCTTCTACATTCTGGTGCAATTCCCAAATTTAATAACTAATCTCTATCATCCAAGTTTTGAATGAAAATATCAGATAGCACCTGATGTAGGAGAGAGTCTATTGGAGTATTTCCCAATCCCTGCTTCCAGCTTCATAGTGAGTTATTAATTTCTTTAATTAAACTCTTGAGAACTAATTGCCAAAAAGTTTTGTACCCACATAGTAACTTGAATATAACAGTTATTAATTTTTATATGAGAATGTCCAGTAAAGTTTTTGGTACTGTCTTACTTTAGTCAAAATAGATTATATCATTTTATTTCTGCCTGAGCTGCAAGGTCTGTTTCTTTATAATACAGGGAGATTAAACTGATTTGACATAATTTGTCCCTGAAAAACGTACATTAGCTGCTACTCATTTCTTTATTATTTTGTTGATACTTACACAAACACTTTCTCTGCAGACTAGTCAAAACAGAACAAAGAAAAAATGTTCCAAGAAAAGATGTGCTCTATCTGCTTCTTTTTTTTCATCAGTTATTATAAAATTCGATATCCTGATTCAGCCCTGCCTCTCATTGGGCTTACTATTTGGAGCTGTCCTATTGGGAATTCTCCTACTGGGAATTCCTTGGGAGCACTGACTGCAGCAAACCGCCACTTATTGTTGTGTTTGACGAAAAACATACTCAGGCATTCAAATTTTAACCATTAACTTCCTGAATGAAATGGTAGTCTTTAAAAATCTTAGACAGTTTTGCAAGTCCTAGCTCACCTCCACAAAAGATTTTTATTAAACTATTTATGAGTAAGCCCTCCAATGCACGCAGATGCAGACTTCCAATGAAACACACAAGATGGTCATAATCCAATTTCAGTATTTGTCCAAACAGTAGTAACACAACAGAAAAGATTTCTTACTGTGTAAAACCAAAATTTAACGATAGGAGCATTGTAGAACTCATAAATCTTTCTTCCAACAGGGATCAGTCTGTGCCTGCTCTGAACTTCCTCTTCCTCTTTCTTTCTTGAGGGCTCTCCATTCCCTCGTCCAAGCATTGCCTACAAGAAAGAACATTTTGTGTTTCTTTCTTTGTGAAAGACAAGTTAAGCTATTTTTTTGAAATTTCGAAAGGAAACTATTCAAAACTTCTCTGATTTCTTGATCCTTAGAGAAAACCAGGTGACCATAGCTAGGTGTAAAATGCTTTGTTCTCAGATTACCTTTTTTGCAGGGACGCTGCTGTTAAATACTTTATGAACTGAAAAAGCAATGCTTTTGGCAGCAACTGTCAGCACCAGTGTGAAATCCTTGACTGGTGAACAAATAGAGAGATGTGGAGAACATTTCTCCTTTTTGCTGTATGGACAGCAAAATTTTTACCTGACAACAGCTTTTTGTGGTGTACTTCTATACAACAAACAGATGCACACAGAAAACAGATAAGTTTTGGTTTTAAACGAAGAGAAGTTAATAAGGCTGAGACTGAGAGAGAACAACAGGGGGAAAGATGAGTTGGCAGTTGCTGGACCAGAAGCGATGAAGCCAGTGACTCTTTGACGTTGATCACTGGATCTATAACAGGCGATGATGCCACAGTGAACTTCACATGAATGCAGAGGACTGACCAGTAGAGTTCACTGCAGCATTAAGGCCTTGGGTTGAAAGACCCCGTACATGATTGTAGCTTCTTCCATAATGAAGTTCCAGACTCCTCAGGCACTGCCTCTGTTAGGTTGATCTCACTGTTGCCATTGCAGTCCAGACTCACTGAAGATCAATGCTGAGCTCCAGAAACACATATTTAAGAAGTCCTCAGCTATAAGTGCAAACCTAACAGGCAAGCAGACGGTAATATTTTGTTTACTCTTAATTTCACGGTCAGCTGCAGAGAGCTGTTAGGAGTAACTAAACTACATACTCACTGTAGTTAATGCTTAAAAGAAGGTGTCCCTTTGTATTTAGAGTACAGCACGGATCTCTTAAATGTTCTTTCTGAAACAATTCTTTTGTGAATAGTAAACTAACAGTGGATTTTAGGTCTCTGTGCCTTGAGGAAGTTCTCACTATTTATTTTGTGGCAGCACCTCTAGATTGTAGCACTTGTGCACATGAAAGCAACTGCAAGAATTGAGATACAACCGTCCTATCTAGGTATGCAGGGATTGCACTATGATGCTTTTATTTAAATGCTTCTATAATGTTTTTCTACGAATAGATCAAAGCACTTTCACACTTTTATGTTAATTGAAGCAAACTTTAATCATCCCCCAAAATAATCTTGTTCTCATCTGCAACTAAAAAACATGGAAAGCCAAGCTCCTAAAGAGAACAATTAGATGTCAGATGTACTGTCTTTCAATAAGTCTTCTTTTATCTTTCTCTGTGCTCTCCGATTCAACAGGGTGTTCAGCACATACTTAACTAATCAGCTTCAGGTGAACTATTTGATCTCGTCCTAGTGCCCTGCAGGAATAGAAGTTGCACTTCTCACATATTTAAAAGTAGGAATCACGGTCTTTGCTGTTCTTCCTTTTCCTAGGGCTCATGTGAAGCTATTCATCTAGGTCTTTGGTCCGGTAAAATAGTAGTTTGTAATGATAAACTGATGACCACATTTTTTTTTCTTTCAGTCAGTGTAGATATTTGTAACCTTATTAGAACTGTGTATGGTCCTAAATGGCTACTGCATAATATTTCTCTTTAATGTCATTTATGCATTGTGCAGTTAGTTTTTTCCTCTGGTATTATTGCTTTCTACATGGTCACTTATATTCTTGAATTTGATTATGCACAGATGTTGCCCTGCACTGAAATTAACCTGCTGAGATCCTCTTAAAACTGTAGCCTGCTTTGATGGTTACCTATTTCCTTTACCTTTTAATGCCTGCAGATTTCTAAGTTCATTGCCATAAACATAGATGAAGCAATGCATATTAAAAAATTAAATACACGGCCTGTTGATTCTCACAGAGCACATAAACCCCCTTAAAAGTCCATCAAGAGTTTCATAAAAATGGAAAAAGATGAAGGGGCTGTTAAGCAGAGGAGAAGGGTTCCTATTAGATAACCACATAGTCTGCAAGAATGTGAGACTTACTGAATATAACTATGGTAGCAGAGATTACACAACCTTCACAGAACCCCAAGAATCATTACCTGAAGTCTACAAAACCAAAGTCATTCCCTAATGTATATCAGGGATTGTTTATTTGGGAAAAAAAGTAGAATATAATCTGAATGTTTTGGGAAAATTATAGCCCAAGAAGGAACTCACTTCTTTGCTTCTGCCTCCTGACTCTGTTTTAGGGAAAGCTGCCATCTGGTGCTACAGTTTTCTGTAGCTTTTCCCAAGGCTTTGTCTCTGCTGTCCTCTGGTGCTCAAGAATTTTGCAGCAGAGTGAAAATGAATGCTGGTGGTTTTAACAAATGAGCAGTGCCATGCTTTAGTGAGAGGTATTATTTCAGAGTTTAAATCCTTCACAATTTTATAAATCTACTAATTCTGAGACACCCTTTGCTCTTACGGGAATCAATAAATTGTGGATGTTTTCAGGATCATGCTCTCGCAGTACCTGAATTTATGCTTTAGCTCATGGATGCTGATTTCCTGTTTGTTATTGCTTTCTTGCTGATAAACGATACTGTAATTTTTTCTTGTTATAATTAGTTTTGAATTAATTGTATCATATAATACTAACCTCTCCCCTCCCCCATGCTACAGATGGGGAATTGCTGTGAGATGGCTAGGGATTAGATTTGACCTGGTGTCCCCGACTGTTAATTATATCACAGTATTAACAAACTGAAAAGCCTCCCCATTAGAAAAATACAGAAATAACCTAAGTGACAGTGTTAACAAAATAGCTGCAATGCCGAATGTGAACAAATGTGTTTTCACTTGGAGGGGGAAGCAATAGGGTGGGAATAACTCAAGAAACTGCTCTGTGTGGGCGGCATCTCTCTCTCTAATACACAATTTTGTCCATGATTCACAATGAGTCATGCAAGGTAAGCCCGACAGCAGCTCAACTACATTGTAAAGTACAGTACAAGTGCATCATTTTAGCCTGAGGGGATTGATGTGCGCATCGTTTTTACATGGAGATTTTTCTAATGAGGATTCTGTTTTTCTTTTTTTTTTGGCCGGATTTTGTTTTACATAATTGAGGACAATTCACTGATAGGGAACCAGGACAGTTTAGGGTTGTGCATTTTTTGCATTAATATGTATTAATGATCCTATAATATATTTATTTATTTTATAATTAAATAACAGGAATTTCAGTCCTGCTAGAATGATCACATGCTCTTCAAATTTTATCCTTAGTGAAATCTGTGTGCTACATACAGTCTTACCCCATATTCACACAGAACTGGTGTGGAAATGGTGCACACGTGGGTGGATATACACTATGTCTCTCTACACACTCCACTGTGTACTGTAGTATGTGTGGAAACGCTACCTCCATGGTAGTTGTTCTGGGGTTACTGTTCTCTCCCTTGAAATACTGATAGGAAAAATGGTTTAATGCCTTTGGATTACAGATGTGTAAAACTAGATTTTGCATGTACTCAGTGGTTCTTTAAGTTGAATAGAGAGGAATGGGGTAAAGCATCAGGAGCTCAGTCATCCTGGTTGCTGAGCATGGCAAAGGACAGTGCCGGGGCAGTTGTGTGGTGGTGATACCAGGGTTTTCAAAACTCTTGGAGAAACAGAAGGAAATCCCTCCTTAGGGAGAGGGCCAGGACTTTTGCCTCCTGACCACTAGCAGTCTCTCTTACTGCCTTTTTCCAGACAAGCTGAAGGGGTGCCTTGCTGCTGGCATGGGAGATGCTGCAAGTACTGACAACCAGCAGGATGGGTGAGAGGGGCCAGGGGCACGAGGCTACTGGTCTTCAATCTTTCATATCTTAAGAACTGTATTTTTAGTGACATAATATTTGGTTAGTTCTTACCACAGAGAAAAGGCTAAGCATACATACTGCAGATGAGACAATTGACAATGTGAGCCCAGAGGCCAACACAACTTGCTTTGCTGCTGATGAGAAGTTGGAACTCAGACTCTTAGTGATGCCCATGGAAATACAAACTTCCTATTGGATGTGAAAAATTAGAACAAAATGAGCAAAACAACAACTGAAACATCTTCTAAAGGACTTAGATGAGTTATTTTGTTTTCTGAAATAAGACCATTTACTGGGGAACTCTAATACTGAAACAATGAGGCACTGAACAGGGATAAGGATACCCCTAATTATGGTTTCCAGAACCAGTATTATTTTGGGTGGAGTGTAGACTGCTGGGGTTTCTGACTGACATAAAAATCAGCAACTAATTAAGGCCCTGGTCAGGACATTATGCAAATACAAAATGCCCCTGCTCTTTAGACGTTAATGCCCTTCTCCTCCTCTATGTCTAATATTCAGGATTAATGACTGGCAGCTCCATGCATAAACTCTGGTAAATTCCTTGGTGCTGATGGAGTGGCCATGACAGCAGTATTCAATCGTGTTTTTGTGAGTAGCTGCTATAAGGAAAGTCTGTTGCCTAGCATCTAGGCAACTGTATGCCCAGCACCCTCATATATCTGGTATAAAGTTAAAAGCAGGTGTGAGTAACAAGTAGTTTACAGTGAATAAACACTGCATCTTTATAGTATACCTAAATGTTTAGCTACCCACCAGATACTTTGAGAGAAGCATAAAAGAAATACACACACACACGCAGTTGCACTCATGCGGAGACTTACTTCACTGTTGCTGTAGTCTGTGTGATCACATTATTCTGTACAAATGAGGCGTAAAATTGCCATGTCCCTGTACCTCATCCACTCTGCACAAGTGCAGACCAGAGGAAGAAACTGACTTTTTTGGCCTGTCGTTAGTCACCTGGGATTAGCAGTGTGGAACACACAAGACTTCATATGAAGTCAATGGAAGGACCTTGACTAGATGTAATCTCTTTGTCTTGGCAGTACTTTTATAAAAATGCATATGGAGTTAATGTAGGAATATAGAGACTTGAAAAGTATCAATTGGGAATGACTAGAAATAGAGTTAGGCAGATTGTTTGGATGATACCTTATTTGCCATAAATGGACTTCTGAGGTGAGTAAAATGATTTTTAGTTCATCAATTTTGCTTGCTTAGGCTTTAAGCTGAATAAAGCTCAGAAATGTAAACCATGGAAAAATTCTGAAAAGATTCTAAACAATCATGTGCCAATTAAGTAAATGAATAAAGGAAAACTAGTAGTAATCACTGAAGAAGATAATACCTGTTTGTCCTGAAAGGAAAAAATGTGGAGAAAAATCAGCAGTTCATTTTGAATTCAACAGTCTCAAGCTATGGTTAGGGTGATCTATTGAGCCAGGGTTCAGCAACTGATTAGACATTTGTGATATCACATCACAATTCATTATTAATCTTAATGAACTATGAATAAGATATCGTTAATCTAAGTGTGGCTAAAGGGGAACTTCACAAAAGCACTTCCCAAACAGTCTTTCAGGTGTTCTCTCATCAGTGCAGAAGAAGCCCAACCTAACTTAAGGCTGACCATTTGACTAAGGGTGGAACATTGCAAAACTTCAATCTAAAATATTTGCTTATTTCAGGTAGGAACACTCTCCCTGACATGGTGCCTGAAGGTGAATAAACATAACTGACTATGGCACTTAACCACGGAAATATACGCAAAATTCTCTTTGCTAGCAAATCATCTTTCCCCACCAGTGAAAGGCACCTGAGTGAAGAAGCTGTGTTAGAAGTCCTAAAGCACAGTACAGATTATAGGCAGAAATACTGTCAGCAGTATTGTACCACAGATATTGTTTATAAACTTGTTGGACTCCACAGAAACTCTTATTTTCTAGAAATGGCTGTATGTGTCTGAAACTTCAATAGAATGATGCATCAAATTTGAGGAAATTAAGGGCAGAGTCAGTGACAGGAAAGAGCAATAGGACTGTCAGGACATGGAAGGGAGAAGGGAGGGAACATTTAAGACTCATTTGGAGAAGCAGATCCAGTTCAGCACATCACTTCCTTGTAGCAGGAGTCAGAAGGTAAAAAGGAAAACACAGTATTGTAGACAAGAAACCAGGAGCTGGGATAACTGCAGAGAGATGGAAATGACTTCCTCCCCAAATTTCTCCCCTTTGCCAAGAAAAAGGCAGATTGCAAAGTGCTTATTTGATTTGAATAGGCACTTCATAAGTGGATCAGAAGCCAGGGATAGCAAATTGCAATTAATAGCTAATGATCAGAGAATGGCCCTGATTGCTGCTATTCTGGCTTCTGGTCCTTCCCAACGGCCAGGTTCTTGCCTGCAAACGGGTCCTGTAGGTGGGTCTTGTGGGTTCCTCCTTCGGCTTGCCTGCATATTGGGTCCTGTAGGCAGGTCCTTCTGCCTGCCTGCAGACGGGGTCCTGTGGGCAGCTCCTGCTGTTTGCCTGTGGGAAACAGTCTGGGTTTTGTGGTTTTTTTTTTTATATATTATTTTTTCAATATTTTTTTTATTTCTTTATTTTTAAATTAACCAGGAAAATCCCTTTTACTTCTATGCCTCTGTCCTGACCTTGATCAACTGGGGTTGAGTTTTAGGCCTTTTAAAGACACCACAATCAAACCCAAACGAAAGCAAGCCAAACTAAGCTAAGGTGGGTTGGATTATGACCTATCACTCATATGATAACCGTCCAAATTAAAAAGCGACAAACAAGTCTGAGAAGAGTCTGGAAGTATGTGACTTTTATAGTTTTCAAGGCTTTAGCTATCTGATTCTCTTTGTGGTGAAAATTATTCCTCTAAAGCTATTTAACTGATACAGACAAGTCCTTCCTTACACAATTCTGCTGAGCTTCACAGTTTCTTAGTAAAGTCTGATCTGTCTCACTACTTGCTAATGTCTTCAGCGGATTAAAAACTATGTGTGTTTATGTGTGAGTGACAATGACCACTAATTCATAAAGAAGTTTGAAAAACATTTTCATCATTTTTCTTGCCTGTTTGCACAATTGCTTGCCCTCTAATGAAGTTAACAGAAAGAAAAAAAAATAAAATCTCTAGCTTCTGTTAATCTTTGGGAATTTCCATCCAAAAGCAGATGTAGCGAGCTTCGTTTCTACCAGACAGGTCCACTTATCTATCATGGCTGAGAGCTTTCATTTCTGATATCTCATGAACTTTTTTCAGACAAAGTGGCATCAAATTGAATCAAAATATGAGGATATTACATCAGGACATGATGCTTCAGCATCACCATGCACTGCTGCAACATTGAGACACAACGATGCCAACTTGTTTGGTTTAAGTCCCATCAAGGAGATGGGAGTGTTAAGAGTGGTATCCTATCGTCTGCTAAATTTAGCCATCAGACAGCCTGCAACTCCCACAGAGGTGGGAATAGCACATTGACAGCACTGAGGCTGGCAATTTACTGTTGGCACTTACGGTGAGTTCCATATCCTCCTCATCTTTTTCTTTCACTGGCTTTTCTGGTTCTTCTGGTTCTTTCTCTTGAAGATGGATCTCGTTAGCCTGGGACATGTAAGGCATATCATCTTTGTTCTTGAATTCCAAGCTGAGGATTGAAGGAGGAAGTAGAATTCCTAGAATTACCTAAAGCAATAATAATAATAACAATAATCATCACAGTAAACAGATTACAATCATGATGGTTACTTAGTATCAAATGGAACAACTCCCCCAGGACATTTAGGAAAAGGAAGATATGCATGTATGTGAGTTTCTATGGCAATAGAGTATTTGTCACTTGGGGTAATGTTTTCAGAGCTCCATAGTGAAACAAAGCACGTAACTTCTTATTAGCATTGCTGTGACTGCTATGGCTAATTGCCCCTCTTGAATATTTCATCTGCTTGCTCATCAAAAGCGTATCGTTACATACCAGAAGGTATTTACAAAATATTACATAAGGTCAACGGCAGGTGGGACCACGGGGTATTCAGACCTTGGACCTACAGATTTCTGCATTTTACATAACAGACAATATCAGTGTAAATGACAAGCAGCATTAATTTCTACAGAGAGGGTTAATAGGTCTCAAGCTCTCTGTGTCCATACTTAACGCGCACAGGTAGTCAAGGCTAAGTGTGTGTGGATCTGAGGAGATAAGGCAGAGCCAGCAAAGCAAACGCTGATGTGCTTAGCTACGCAGTCCCCTTAGATTTTGCTTCAGTACCCTGGCAGCCATGTAAGGCTCACATTAATGCCAGCTCCTTCTTTTCTGCCTTCTTTCTCTTATGATGTGGGAGTGCAGAAACCATTAAAATTACCTTGTGTGGTTATATGCAATGAATGATGCTTGGGGTTAAATCAGTGGTATAACTGAAGAGTTATCATATGAATGCAAAAAGAAGTGGCCTGTCTGTTCTCAAGCACAATGGCTTTTCCTGGTTTTGCTGTAATCTCATGGAAAATTACTTTGTTATACATCTCTCCCTAAATGATAGTGAAACCAGATAGTTAGCTTGTTGGCAGGTCAGGGAGGGTGACTGGTTGTGCTCATCATATCAACAGACAGCATGTGTGTTGTTGAAACCATCCAAAGTACTGCAATTAGGAGCAGTTAGCATATATGAATGCTGTGCCCAGCTTCAGAAGAGCTGAGCACCAGGCTGTCTGCACTGCTCCTGCACTCGGCTTGTCACAAAAGGGGGTGTCCAAGGAGAGGTAGTTATGGGAAGACCTGGCTCCCCAAAGAAGCTATTTTTAAGAACAGGCAGGATTAACAATTGCCATTCGTGCTATACATCCCCGGTGAGACTCTAAAGAATTACATTCGGCATTCTTGCCACTTGCCAGTTTCGAGAAAATTGTTCATGGGAAATAATCCATGACTCATGCTTGCAAATTTATTTCTTTGCCATGCTGCCTCATCCTCATGTAGCTTGTAGCCTGCTTTAGCTTTAAACAGGCCCTGCTAATGAGCTTCATTGAAATAAAACACTGACTAGAAATTGAGTAAATGATCCTTGTGAAGCCCTGATGTTACAAGAAGCTGAAAGGAAACAGAGTCTGTTACCTTCAGCTATTCATTGTGAAAGAAAAGTCTATTTTATGGCTTATGAGATGCATGCTGCAAAGAAAAAAGCATACAGTAGGAAATGAGTTGTTGCACTGATTCACCTCTACCCAGGTTGAATATCTGCAAAGCCAAGCAGTGAATAGGGCAATGGGCCTGTGTGTCGAGTTAGAAAACTAGGTAGTAAAGATGTCTCCAAATGTGAGAATGTTTTCTATCTGTAAGCAGAACAATATTTAAGCACAGATCCTGCAGGAGGATGATGAGAATGCTATCAGCCACTTACACTCATTCATCACTGTCACTGGATTATGATAATGATGCAAGTACTCATAAGCATTCTTGCCATTACTGAACATCTTTTCACACAGCAAAACAGCTAAGCAATTACCCCTTTTCACACACGCGATTAATGTAGGAGAGAGCACCTCTTCACTGAGTGTATTTCTCAGTCATCTGGGAGGAAGAGACAACTCCTGGTTATGTACTGGCTGGTGAGTACTTTGGTGAAGGTGAGAGATGCTAGCCCATGGACAAAAATTCACCTCCCAGAATCCTCCTTACTCTGTTAGCAGTTTTGCTAAGCATGGAAGTAAAGCTTAAACAGCTTTGAGAATTGAATTATCCTCTAGATCCTCTAGGGTAGCCCCTTCAGGTCAGTCATCAGGAAGATTGGCAGGGGATTGCAAGAAAATTCGTACTGCTTGCTTTGGCCTGTTCTGGGTAAGGTTGTCGGATCAGCACCTTTCACTGGTGGTTAATTCACTTACACATACTTTTTCTCTATTTATCTTTAAAAACCTTGCCTAACTCCTCAAGTATCCAGGCAGGGTGACATACTAACCTCCTAGCTCAGTTCTTATTCTGATGACTCTCACTGATGCTGGAGGGGGCTTTGAGAAAGATGATGAAAAAACTAAGTAACATGCTTTGAACTTGCATTTGTGATAATCTTCCTGGTGAAAATCTGAAGAATATACCCTGCTTAATGTTGCTGCAAATAAGCACCTAAAATACGGTTAATTGGGCCAGCTATTGCTGCTTTCTCGCAAGCCCCGTCACCACCTATTAGAACTTCTCTGAGTGTTAATTTTATTTTAAAACAGTGCTTTGCTGACCTTTAGGCCAGAATTTTTACGCATCCGGAGACGACCCATCCACATGTCTGTGAGCAGCATTTGGCTGCACGTGTGAGCGATGAAGTCCCTGTGCTTGGCTGCCACTGCGAGCTGCAGGCACGTGGCGTTGCTCCAGTTCTTCAGCTCGTAGGTCAGCAGTTTCATTGCCAGTTGCTCATCCTGCTTGTACGACTGGTCCAACAGCTCCACCGCCAACTGGCCAAAGTCCCTGCAACAGAGGGACATTCGTGGATTCCCATTAGCCCAAGCAGCCTGCTGCAGAAAACACCCCTCTGCAACTGACAGCCTCTGCAAGGGGGACATCACCTTCCATCATGCAAATCGTGATATTGACTGTACACATGGAAACCCACATTTTCAAATGTGAGTGGCTAATGGTAGGCATATAAATAAGTGCCCTGACTTAGCAGTGATGAGCACCCACACCTACCAGCTGTCTGCTCCCACTTGCCTGCCCACCTCCCTGGCATTTTCTAGCTGAAATCCTCTGGTTATCTGCAGCTTAGAGGATTGCTTCTGTGCTGTTTGCCCATGGCTTTGTGGTCAAGCCTCCCAGAAAACGGAGTGTCCAACACCCTTTTTTAAATTCTGCGTCTCAGACTTTTAACATCAGGAGAGATTATTATAGAATCTAGTGTCCTGGCTTACTCACCTAAGCATAAGCACTTGGCAAATTAACATTTCTGCCCGAATATTACGTTTGTAAGGATTTCCAGAATTTTTCTGCTTGGAATGAAGAGAGTGTCTTGAAAAAGCACAGAGGAAGGTTTCAGCCTGACCCTTGAGGCCTCAGGGAGACAATAGACATAGACAATATAGATATTTCATTGCCTTCTTGTCACTTTCTCATTTCAGAAGTTATACTGCTAGCAACTCTGCTACTCTGGCAGGCAGATTTTTTAAAAGCCATTTAGACTTTCTCTAAAGTCTAAATTTTCCCTACAAGTTAGAAATGAAAGCAAGGTACAGATAAGCAAATTTCAGGAAGGTTGAGAAGCCTCTCTCCCTTCTTTTTTTTAATTTTTTTATTTTTTTTAGCCCAGGAAAGTGTACATGAAAGAAAATCCACCTGGAATTATGGTTCAGCTCCTGGGATATGTCATCCACCATGTCGTTTTCTGATGCTTCATGGGCCATGGCTTTGCAGAGTTTACAGGCCACCAGTGCTTTAGCCATAGCCTCTTCCCCATGCTGCCAAAAGAAGAGTGCCATCTTCTGACGCTTCATCAGCACAGCCCACACCATCAGCTCATGGAACGGGAAGGGGAAATGATTGATCTCAGGGTCATCCAAATCAATATCAACTTCTTCTTCTCTTTTCTTTGTTGTTTTCCTCCCTCGCCGCAATGGAACATCATCCTGTGAGAATTGTAGAAAAATTTTTTTCACCAGTGAAGGAACTGAATCAATTCATATAATGCACTGGAGTTAGTACCTGGTGTCAAACACATTCCCTCCAGCCTAGCCCCTTCAGCTTTTTTTTTGACAAAATATTCAACACAGGAAAACGATGAAAAAATTATTGGTCCATGCACTGTAATTTTAAAGTCAGTAGCCCCATACCTACACACAGGGAAAAAGAGCTTTGGACTATCACTCTGAAGTCCCCAAGAACACAGAGAACAATAACACAGTATCCAGAAACAGTTTGGAAAAGTCACCGTTAAAATAAAGCTAAGAGTTCATTCCAAACATAACATCTGTTGTAATGCATCCGCCCCATTCCACCTCCAGAAAGCACATATCCAGGGGATGTTCTGGTCTGCTGAAGACTCCCTCCCTGCTTATTCTTGTGTTTTCTCCCTTTATCTTCTCACAACAATAGGAATCTCCTTTCTTTACTCTCATTCTGCCATTGTATTCCATGTTTATCCTTTCTTTCTCCAGCTCTTTGCTATTTCTATCGCCTTTAGTTTCTTTCCCATTTTGACCTATTGCTTTTGTCAGAGGAGTTGACCTATACTGTGCTGCGTTTATGGCAGCAAAATGACAGTTCTCGTATAAAATAACTGCACAAGAGAACACCACTATCTCCTTGAAGCATTAGGGTAGCCAAAAGTGTCAACACGATTGATAGAAATTTGGCCCATGTAAAGATTTCTGCATCATTCTCTGCAACTGATGCATTTCTCTGAGCATGTTTTAAAGTTATATGGTTATCTGACTGAAATCCTGCTTGGCCTGACAGAACGAAACACTTTGCTTAATCTTCATGAAAAGAAAAATGATGCAGAGAGGGGGCAAAGACTTCTTTTCTCTTATATATCCACTGTAGTTTTATTAAGAAGTGCTTTTTAATCTGGCCCTTGAGCAAACAAGGTATCTGGATGAAAAATACAATTTGTGTGGCATGTTCGTCATACAAAACTTGAAAACACCTATTGGTGCTTTCATTACAGTGAATTTAAACATCATCTTGATATTGCTTATATTTGTCAAAGAAGAAAAAGACATTAAGATTTATCACAGGTCGCCTACCTCCATTCCCAACAGTTTCAGGGCTTTTGGCTGTACAAAAAAGTTAGAAAAATGTTATTTCTCCCAGAAGGGTGATGAAAAATTGCAACTATACGTGTATTCATGCATACGTACATACATACATGCATGTGTGTAACATGTGATGTATAACATATAGTATAGAGTAATAATAGACAATACAAATATAACATATATAATTTATATGTGATGTAATTGTAATACACATATATACATCAATCAAATAATTGCATATATATATATATTTATTTAATTCCACCTTGAGTTTGACCCTATTTCACCAAAACACACAACAGAAGACATACATTTGGGTTCAGATACAAATTAGAGTTGGTTTGGGGCTGTTCTAGTGATTAAGAGATAGGAATTACTACTAAGGCATGAATGGATTTCTCTGGAGTACATCAGTATTTTGGCTATTCCCCTGGCACACTTTTATTGACTGCTGTGGAGCTGCTCTGGGTCAGTATCTGTGAAATTGCTACTCAAATGCTCTTCTTGATGGAGTGACTAAAGGAAGGAAGTCACTCCCAGTAGCTACAATTACTACCTTTCCTCTCAGAAGTGAAGAATGCAAGGGTAGGGAAACAAACCAACCCATTTCAGGTGTCTGGCTGTAACTCTTTCATAGAGCTGTTGCTCTTTATAGCCACTTAGAATCATATTCAATGGTATGTATTGCCAAAATCTGAACTGAGACAGGAAATGAAAATGTCTGGTAAAAATAGGCAAAGAAAGAACTACAAATCTTACTGGAAGTAGTTAAGCAGATTTTTTGTTGTGCTGGATTAGGTTGGTGGCATTAGGGATGACAATTAATATCTTTTATGTTTTAGAAAGGTAGCAAACTTAACTTTGGATTCATAGTATTCTAATCTGTCAAACATGAAAACCATAAAAATACTGAACAGTGCTTTTTCCAGGAGCCCACTGACTCTGCTGGAGCCACATGCGGACAATAAACCCAATTTTGAGTTATGGGTTTCTTTGCCCTGATGCCTTCAGGCCACAATCAAGAAGAGCCAAGAGATAGGAAATGCATCTATCAAAACACAAGTTTTTTCAAGTCTAACTCAGGTGCCCTATGGTATTATTGGTACAGGTCAAAAGACTTGTCTTTCAAAGCTGCAGCTACTCATAATTACAGATTTTAAGTCAGAGAAGGCTGTTTTATGTCCTGTTCTAACCAGGGCAGCAGAATCCAATACTTTTTTTCATTAAATTAATAAAAAATGTAGCTTGCATCAGTGGCTGGCTTATGGTATGTTGTGGTGAAATAGCTGCTATGTACATAAAGGAAATGAATCTGTAGACTGAATAGTGTGTGCATGTTGATTCCCCCATCCTGGAACCATCTAAGAAGCTAATCTCTGCCAGTGACTGCAGTCATACAGATGGCAAATAACTTGCTCCTTACCCTCTTGGGCCCAAATAAATTGTGGTACAGTGTTCTGAACCGCTTTCGGGTGTAATTGCAGCGATACGCTCCTCCCATCAGGTACTCTATCACCAAACCAATATCAATCAGACTTATCCGATAATCAGGGGGTAAATTTCCCTGCAATGAAAATAAGAAGGATGGTGGGGGAGGAAGAAATGCTCATTACTGGCATTGTTAAATATACTTCATAATGATCTTAGAATAAAACAATTTAAATAGTTAAAAACACGAATGTATTATTATGCTGGTTAATTAATTCACCTTAAAATAGATCCAACCGAAACCTGGATATTCTCGCTTGGAAAGAAGACATAAGTTAAATAAGAAGGTGAAGAACTTGTTGGAAGTAACAGAAGATAACGTCAGTACACAGTACTCATATTCTTCAGCTGGGGAAACAAGGAACACGACTGCAGAACAAAAAGCACGAGGATCAGCACACTTGAAAGGTCAGGCACAGTTGCTGGACTCTAGTCCTGCAAGATAGCACCTTTTCTGCACCATCTGTCCCCCACAACTCTTGTCCTGGCATCTCACTTCTCTGCTGGCATCTCACACCTCTGCTGGCATCTCTTTGGACTGCTTCATCTGCACTGCCAAGGCACGGTGAAGTGACATCATGCGATATCATTTGTTCACATGGAACCAGATCCTGCGTGTGATCTTCCATCCTGCGGTGCTGCCTTCCCATGTTCCAGGAAAGGAGGGGCAGGGAGGAAAGAGCTGTGTTATCTACTCTAGGAGACTCACACAGTGCATGAGTTACTATTATTGCTAGTTGTTAGAGGCAATGAGAGTCTGTTAACATTTGTTCTTGGGGTTATGTACAAATATACACATATCTTTGCTTAAACTCCACACTTAGCATGAGGAAAGCATCAATATGTATGAAAGTAAGTATGGAAGTTGTCATAGACAAAATATCTGTGGCTAATTCTTTGCTGTTTTGTCCAAGAAGAAAACTCCAGGCCCATCGGTTTTCCTAGGTGGTCCCTCCTTGAACGCCCAACATATTTTACTGAAAGCCCCTCTAAGCATTGTAATCTAGCTACCTAATTTCCAGCAGTGCAAGGCAGATCTGTGCTTGTAGCAAGGGTCATTAACTGTATCCTGGAAAAGACATCTACATACTTACTCTTCCATTTCTTTTCCTTTCTTTCCTCTGTTAAACATAAAATATATGTACAATGTCTTCAGCAAGCACTCTTAATTTTGAAAGGAAAAAAAATTATAATTATGTTCACGTCTTATTTCCCTCACTTTGTGAAACCCCTTGTACATACCTTCCTTCTCTTCACTGTCAAGCTTGAAAAAGGCAACACTAAGGTTATGAGCTCTCCAATGCTTATGGCTTGCAAAGTGCTGAAGAAAGATCTCAGTAACAGCTTGTCTCTTACTGCGTATGAATCTAAGTCTGCCTGTGAATTAACTGGGCATTTCTATCCTCCAGTAGCAACAAGACTGATGCAAGACCTAGCAGGCCAGAACAATGCTGAGGGGAGCTGGTCTCAGGGATGTGCCACTAAAGTGCTCTTGGAGTTCTCTGGCAATGGAAGAACAAAATCCCAGTGTGGGCATATCTGCTTTTCTGCTCCTCCCTGGGAACACCATAAGGAAAACTCTGATCCCTTTTCATGAGGAAGGGAATGCCCCCAGATGAAAGTTTGCCTCCTTCTCTAAATCACTGCCTCCGAATTGTTTGGATGGCAGTTTCTGGTTCAGCAAGCGGTTCCTTACCAGAAAAGAAGGTGTGATTCAGCAAATTGTGAGTAGGTCACCCAGATCTAGAGATCTCATTAAGAACCCTACAGATTTACAGCTCTTGTCCTGTATGTCATTGTGCAAGGGAAGTGACTACAAATCAAAGGTGGAAAGAGAGGTAAATTATCCTTCTGTGAACTGCGAGTAGTAGCCTTGGAAAAAGAGAAAATTACTCTAGTAAAAAATTAACTTGTATAGTCAATATTGCAGAAGGACCAGGAAATTGTAATTGTTGGCTTCAGCCTTTTTCAGTGCACTGTAATACAATAATCACATTTTCTCTAATGATATACAGCACAGATTATAGTTAGCCTGTAGCTCTTTTTATGTGATCATCAAAAGAAGGTTAGTAATTCGCACGGAACAATTTTATGATTGCCGTGTCTTGCTGGAAATATCTGCACGTCTGCAGAAATCTGCCTGGCTTCTCTGCAGATGTGCTTACTAGATTCAGAGCAGACAAACACTAATGGAGAGCAGATGGCAACTAGTTCTGCAGAAGAGACGAAAAGGATGCAAAGGTCCTCCTTCCTCTTCTACTTCAGCCAGTAAGAGCAACTGCTTATTCCCCTCCCTGCTCACCATGGTACACACGGCATGCTGAAAGGCTGAGGAAGCGCTAGAAAGGGAGGTAGTGCTGTGATGTACCATGCCTAGCAAAGGGCTGGCATTCAAAGGGGCAGAAGATCAAGCAAATTTAGTGGCAAAAGGTGGGCTGCCGTCTTTCAGTAACGTCCCTTAGCACATCCTGTTGCACTCTTCCAACACTTGGCTCATCTGTTGCCAGCGGGGGAGTCACTGTGGTCTGCAGGTCTGCATAGTAGCCTAGTTTATTTGATCCCAGTCATTTTTATTCTGAAGTGTTTAAAGAAAAATAACATAAATCTGAAAATGAAGTCCTGCTAATTGTTTTGTTTGTTTGTTTGTTTGTTTTTGCCCAAAATGTTCTCTCTCCAGAGTGGTTAAGACAATGACAGTTTACTAGAACAAGGATGAAGGCGCTGGCAGAAGTGGGAGTTGTAGCTCCAAGACAGAGTTGTGGTTCTTCAACAGCCTCCTGCTGTCTTAATGCAAGACTCTAAAACTGACTGCTTTGATGTTATTAAGTGGCAAATCAGAAAGCACAACATCAAGGTGCTGCATGTGTTAAAAAGCATGAGTTACTTGATGTAGTTCTTCTGATTCGTAAAATTTCTTAACGGGATTTAGATAAAAAATTTCCATTGGAGTAACTTTAATAAAAGATGCATCTAAACCTCCCAGATACTATTGACACACCTTACTAAAGAAAACTCACATATTCACAGCAGAAATACACATTTTGTGGACATATACATATGTATGGCTCCATGCTGATACACAATTTCTTTTTCAAAGTTACCAGTCCTAGTAAAGCCAATCAGAACATCCTTATGAGAGGAGTTAAGCATGTGCCAAAGCATTTGCTGTATCAGCAGACACCTGGAACCACCCTGGCAGTGGTGAGTCTGCTTGTACATGAAGCACAGTGGTGCAAGTGGGCCAGAACTCCACCAAGAACAGCAAAAAATTGGATAGGCTAATTGTAGTACAGCCAAGGTATTTTGGAGTGACAGAGGAGGAGGTTTGATTTTCAGGTATGATGGGTACCCCAGTTGATAATCAATTAACCTTTTCATGCCAGGACAAGCTCTTCAGTGCTAATGCATTACTCTTTTTCTGAAGAAACTTGAAATTTAATCTGTAGCTAATAAATGATAGTATTTTTTAATTTCATGTGCATTTTTATGTTCAGTGGGTACCAAATCTCTGATTTTGCATGCTTAGGAAAAAAATAATACGTTCATAATTCTGTATATTGCCTGTTAGGAAATGTAGACATACAGTGGCAGTCCAAAATAAAGAACTTGAAAACTTCTATCATCCCAGAGTGGGATTAAGATATACTGATTATATAAAATTTTTTGATTGAAGAAAAAATTCACCCGCTGATTTCTTCTATTAGGTAGCTGAGCCAGAGAAGGACTTTTTAAAAACAACCTGCAGAGGGCAACCTCCACTTACAACACGATGTCAAGCGCAGCCACTGTTTCTGTCTGCGTAGTCTGGAGGCATCGGTTTGGACAGCCTAGGGAAGGGAGTCAGCCCTGTATGTTGAGTTCTGTACCTCGGACAGGAGACGGCAAAAAGGCAAAAGGTGCACGTGGGTTTGTCCCTGTATGTAGTTGTGGAATTGAGAAGATAAGAGAGGTGAGCACAGTTGTCTCTAAAGCAGCGTCATTAAGGAGTACTCTGTCTTTTTAATCGATACACGGCAGAGGTTAAGTGTGCTCTGATTACTGTTAATTCTTTAAGACTCTGTCTCCAGGCCTTTACAACGTGCTGCGCAGGCTAACAGTCTTCACAGTGATTTTTGGAAATCCAGAGAGAAAAGAGATTGCTCTGTTACATGTTTGTGTGTGTGTGCGTGTTTGTGTCTGTAAGCTGCCACAAACAGGATGTGGTAATGTGGCTTCTGGTGCTGAAGTTCTTTGCTGTAGTAAGCAGGCAGGGTGGTCTTTCAAACAAAAAAACCTACCCGCCTAGTGATTTATACAGCTATGTAGTGCAAAAATAGTAAATAAAAGAATGCCTCTAGGATTTACAAGCATCAATTTTCTATTTGAGAATTCTCAATGGTGCAGCTGTAAATAACTTTTTACAGCATACACCCTTTTAAACAGCGCAGATTTAAAATTTGGCATGTATGAATGAAAAGCAGAGTATGGATATCCGTTAACTGTTGTCTCAAGGTGACATTACAATTTTTGTATTTATATTTTGTGACGCTGTAATTAAATCTGAGGGGTTTTTTGATGCCAGGGGTATCTGGCATCAAAAAACTAGCATGAGCAATATGGTCCAGTTTTTATGCATGGTGGGCCTCTTAACTGTCAGGCAGTGATGTCCACTGAGAAGTTATTTCCAAGGAGGTGTTTTCATTTAAATTGTTGTCAGATCTGCTGACTGATTTACAGCTTCGTGGACTGGTGAGGGATCTGCTCAGACGGCAGGGCTGTGGTGAGCTGTCACTTTTCTCCAAGTGAACCGTGATTGTTCCTCATCACTGACAAAATGAGAAACAGGGCCCCAGAGCTGCAGTTCCCTGATGGAAGTACTAGAGGGCTGCACCAGGCTGTTTGGTTTTGAAGTTCTTAACTATATTCTAATAAAAGTATTCATTGGCTTCATGTAGTCAGAATTTCTGAAGACTTTAGATATGCAGAGAGGAAACAAAGATGAATTTATGGAAAAATGGCCATTACCTAACCAGAATATTTTTTTTTACTAAATATGCAGTTTATTATGTTTCTAGTTCTGGTAAATTGGGCTTCAAGAGAAGTAGCCCCTCTGAATGCACTCTAGTCTTACTTTCCTCCATCCAAGGGGATTTTTGCATTGTCATTTCTTCTGTAGGCATTTCAGACTTTCAGATGGTCACTTAATATACTGTATGTAATTGAATAATGATGATGCCATGTAACACAGTAACCAAAGAAAAACACCAGAACCTCCCGAAACATAACTACTGATTATTCTGTAGCAGTATTTGACAGAAAGATGATATATGGAGCATTGTTGCTCCCGTCCCTTAGTTGCCTTCAATTCTGCTTAGCTGTCAGTGACAGCAGAAACGACCAAAACATCTGCCTTTACAAAAAAAATCCCTATTCCTTTTTCAAATCTTTTATCTAGTCCTACGTACAGAAATCTCCTTTTTCAAGTATGCTACCCTTGAGGTCCGACTTACGTAATGTGCAAGGTTGTAATCTGCACGTTTTGGGAGAATGTTCAAACTGATGAGGTCAGTTGCAAACTCAATCTCATTGCTTGATCCGTATATTTAGAGGATAAGGGATTTTCATTCATTGCAGCTGCTGTAACACTTTTAATCCCGAACATATTGCTAAAGGTATTTAACATCTCCTTTCTGTTACTATACCTTTCCATGTTTCTATCCTCCTCTCCTAATTGCTCGTTATAATTCAAGATGCTTGAAGTTAACTTGATAAAGGGGCAGAGGGGAAGTTGCACTACTTTAATATATTTGTGGTGAGGAAGATGGCTACAACATACCACACAACACAGAATGAGGAACTGTTTTAACAAATTAGGATCCAGCACAAGGATAAGGGCTATTTTACAGGCTTGGAAGTAAACTAACAACATGGAAATTAGCTTTGACAATAGTTGCAGGTATGGAAAAAATACAGATAACAGCATAAATCCACTTGGTATGTAAGAGCCTACAATTATGCTAGCGGAAGCACTATTGTCCAAGCATCTAAAACGACAGAGAAAGCAAGCCAAATAACTTGCTAATTGTGCTTTGTATGCAAAAAGTTCATGTTTGGTACATACAAACAGGACATTTTGTAATGGCAAGGGGAGGGAGAAGGCTCTGACTAAAAGCTCATGCAAAACAGAGATTGTATCTAGCTACAGAAAGCAATCATAGCATTATCTCCAACCTACCGTCTATTGGACTCTTACCTTTTTGACATCCCTGACTAGATGATACAGAGTGTTGGACGGTCCATGTCTCTGCAAAAGACAAATAAAGAAGAATAAAATAGTTTTGCATTGTCCAAAGACCTGCAAAATATAAATGTTGAAACAGCTTTCTCACCTTAGTAGTTTAAAAGTCAGGCAACTGAGAGCACTTTAATTGTACAGTGTTATCAATTAAAAAAAAAAATAAATTACAAGAGCATTATTTCACCTGACTTCTCTTTTGTACAAACCCCTTCAGTAAGAAAATCACAAGAACTGCCACACTGGATGAAAACTAAGGTCCCGTATACCAGATCAGGCTCCTGGCTTCGGCAGAACAGGAGGCAGCACAACATGCACAGCCTCTGGGAGAGGGAGGAAGGAAAAACAGCTGCTAAAGTGTCAGCCTCCATGCACTCAGGATCTCCACTTCCACCATTGGTGGCTCAGAGAGTCCCTGAGGCTGATGTAGCATCTAGGCTGTCATGTCTGAAAGCCACTAACAGCTTGCACAGTCTGTCAGTTTGCCCAGTCTTGGCTCCACCTGACATGCAAAACATTCTGCAGCAGACTCCCACAATTTCAATTATATGTTATGTGGAGAAGTACTTTCTTTTCCGTTGTGTATTTGACTGATGCTGGTATTTTAAGAGACTTTTATTGGAGGTCTCCTTGGCTGTACTTGATGATAGATGCATATATGCAGAGTCAGTGTTTCCATATACACATTGCTCTTGCCAACACTTAATTTTATGTAACCTCATCACTGAGCATGATCAGACTTTCCTGTGATTTTTCATATGCTGCTTCAGATTTGCCTACTGTGCATGTTGCTGTCACCTGCAAACATTGTCCCTTCAGCACTTACTATTTTTCAGATCATCTCTAAACAAGCGGAAAAGCAGTGGTCGCAGTATAGGGTCTTGGATGACCCTGGTCATAATGTCCTTTTGTGGTGAGAAACAGACTATGTATTCCTACTCTCTGTTTTCTATCCATCAACTAGTTTTTAAACCACAAGTGCCCCTCATCTTCTGTGCCATGACAGCTAAATTTCTTTAATAACCTTTGAGGTTTTCAAATATTGTCAAACAGGTTTTGCAAAAATTGGTTGACCAAGTGCAACATCCTTATCCTCCTGCATGTTGACTTCAGAAATGGTTAAAAATTTCTAAGGCTTAACATTTTCTTCCAGAAGCTAGGTAAACTCTTTCTTGACATAAAATAGATTCCTTTGTCTATTAATTTTATCCTTGTATTTTTACAAATTTGCCATTGCAGAAGTCAGGTTCACTGGTTTGTAGCTTCCCATGTCACTCTCAGGACTCACGTTGAAGTTTGGTATTTTTCATGCTAAGGCTATTATGGGTGCATTAAGTCGTATGTCACAATTGGTAGTTTTGACAATTCACAGCTTGGGTCTTTTGGATCTCTTGCGTAAATAATTTATGGTGATTTCTATAGCTCACAATAAATTTGTTCAAAAAGACCTTCTTTTAGGTCTAGAACTTAAGACTTCCCTCAAACTTATTCCCTGTAAAAAACTGGCTTTGGTACAAGAATTAAAATGCTTATCTCTGTAGCAAGAAAACACATAGGCTTTCTGTTTGTAATACGTAGATGCTAGTTGATAGGCAAAGTTTAGGCTTATCAAAGATCAGATGGGAATCTGTCTTAAGGGTGGCACAGATACCTATTCCTCTATATTTTGCACAAATTTAATGAGTTCATATTTGATATTTTTGAAAGACTGTCTTTTGGTCACCATTAGTGTGAAACATCTCTGGATAACAGCCCAGTGTGGCAGCTTATGATGGCAGGGCTTTGAAAAGTACTGGCAGAAAAAAGCTTTTTGAAAAGGGCTATGCACTCTATCACATCTCTTTCCAACAGACAGAACTAACAATCCTAAGAAGTAGACAATGCTTTAAGATTTTTTCCATACCACTTAAGCAATTTGAACTTACTGGACTTTCTCAGTAGGCAATAATGATGTGAGTGTGTTTTGCAGTTGAGAAAACAGAAGCAATTTGAACCTGTGCAGTTTTAGGATCATTTTATGGATAAAGATTTAAAACTTGCAAACAGGCTTTTAAAAGCCAACACTATCCTTTTTGTAACATTCACTAAGGACATAGGGGAGGCCTTCACTGTAATAGACCTCCTGAAGTCATCAGATTTCTACCTTAAATTCAGAATATTATCCCAGGAAGTTGGCTTCTATTTATTTTCTAGTGGCTGAGTTTGATCAACAGTTGCAAGATTTTTCTGAAACCATAAGGGCTTATACTGTCAGGTGTCATATATCACCACCCTACTGGTCCTAACTTGCCAGTTACTGTCTTCCAGCCAGGGCCATCTGCCTAAATCTCAGTTCTATCATGTTGGAATTGCAATAACCAGAAATCAGCTGGTCTTGTGTGTGCATTACAAAACCCATACAGCAGATTAGGTGGGCAAGACAAACCATGTTCCACTGTACAAGAGAGAAAGCTAAGAAACAATGTGGACTCCTAACAAGCAAAATTTCTGCAGCAGGTGTTGGGTGCGTTGTGCATCATCATGTTGTTGTAACATGAATGGGAGCTAGAACAATGAATACAGAGATAGAAAATTTGCCTTAGGTTGGCCCTACCGTGTTGTACAATTCCTCTAGCCGGGAGATGGTGAGAAAACGATGCATGCTTACTCCATTTTCTATGAGTAATTTCACAAAATCCACTCTGTCCAACACCAGTGCATCCAGCATTGCTTGCTCAAGGGAGCCCACCTGCAAAGCAAGCGATTAATTCAGGCCGTTCCTGGGCATCACAGGCTGTATCCGTCTGGTCCTGTCACCCTGGCACAAGCAGGGAATCCTGACAAAATTCTGAGGGTTGCTCTGCTAAGCTTAAAACAGGATAATCACAGTTTTAGTCTATATTGGTTTCTCTGATCCAGGGCAGCATTTCAAAAATGACTGTAAGAGTGTTAAGATAAACATACTCTAGGAAATCCAGCTTAAGGCCAAGGAAGTGGAACCCAGGAAACTGGTAACCACACCTCCACACTATTCAACACCTCATTATTATCTTTATTTCTTGCTTTCCTGACAAAGAGTTTATTTTTATTTGGTATATTTTTTTGTGCACACACTCACTTTAACTATGTCTTTACTAGCTTTTTCCTCTGTGTGGAAACTCAGGGAAATTTTGACACCCAAGAAGCTTCATAATTAGCATTTCTTTGAAGGGCCAAATGCAAGAGGCGTTCTTATGTAAAACCTCTATTTTTTTTAATCTCTTTCAGGTGGGGGGAAGTTAGAAGGATGAGGAATTATCTCATAGTTCCAGCTTTTAGCTTGCAAAATGATTGCAGCTTGCAGCATTTATGCAAATTTTTGCTATGATGTGGAGATGGAGCAACAACGATAAGAACAGTTTAGTACCATTGAAATTACTCCTCTGTTTTGAAGCATGCTTATGCCCAATATTGAAGACAAGATAAATAGTCCCGTTCATTCCATAAATGAAAAGGCAAGGATTTTTGAAACTGGCTTTATGGAGCAGCAAGCTCCAGAAACTCCTTTACAGCAAGGATATTAAAACAGAAGCTTTTCCTTTTGTTATAATTTTTCCATGGGGAGCTGGCATATGAAATTTTCATGATGGTGACAAAACAAAAGGCACAGTAACGAATATTGTGATCCAATTAAACCTTCCAAAGGAAGACATGGTGGACTTTAAGGAGCTATAGGTATGGAAATAGTCCTTCTGTCTCTTACTGGGTGACTTCTGCCACTGTAAAAACTGCAACACAAGTTGGGAGTTGACTACTCCTCCACTGCACTGCACAGCATTCAGTAACCCCTCTGTTTACAGCCCTCCCACTACTGCAGAGAAGTATTGCCCGGGAGAGCGGTGTTGGCCAGGGAGCGTGTCCCCACAGCTGGCAGCTGGAGCACAGGATGGGGCAGGCCAGAAGCTGGCAGATGGATGCACAGCAGCACTGGGCATGAAAGTAACACCCGCTCAGGTCTGCAGCTGCAGCACTTCTATGGTGCCATTGCTGATCAGCTCTCCTGGTCCACCTGATGACCTCCAACATTTGTGCAGTGCATTTGTGATCTCTGACTATCATCAAATTCTGTATTTGTACATAAAAGCCTATTGCTTGAAGAGCAAAGTTTTGCCTTTCCTTTAATTTATTGTAACATGGCTATAAACAGATACTTGTTTTTCCCAGCTTGCAGAATCATTGCTTGATAGTATAGATGTGTTGCTTTCCCTTTCTTTAAAGGTGTGGTCTCTCAGTGTCAAGGCATCGCTAGATGTCACCATTTCCTTGAACAAGCCAACATATTAACATCTTTGTAACCCTGCTTGTCCTCAGTAGCTGTGAATAGGAACTTTGTGTTTGGCTGGAAGCATGACTCAGTATATTTTAAACTGTGTTAAAACCACTGCTGCCAACAGAAAGGCTTTAATGTTGTGTAGGGTTTAAAGTGTTTTCAGTAGAAGATGCTGTATATATACTGTACCGGCCACTGCTGCCCATAAATAAAGATCTGACTGCGGGCGATGTCTACTCTGTTCCAGGCTAATGCTAGGCTCAGCTGGTCTGGAGCAGATGCGTTAGCTCCTGTGTATACAAACAGGGATGGAGGGAGGAGAGGAGAAGAAAAAAGAAACAAGCCATACGTTAGACTCAGTTAACATACCACCACTGTTATTTCAGTTTGTCAGAAGTCTCACAGATGTCCATGCCATTTCTGCAAATGATCTCACACACAAAAAAAAAACAGACCTTCCATTATCCCTCTAACAAAGTACTGGTTCTCAAATCTGAATCTATGGTTCTCAGGTTTTCTCATAAACGTTAATTGTTTCCACACATCCCCTGTGAAAAATACAGTAGGTACATGTGATATAGGCAGACACAACTTGTGGTGAAGTGAACTGGTTTTCCTCCTCTGGGATGGGAAGCAAGAGAAGAAGCCAGGAGGAATACTGATTCAGCTGCAGGAATACGTGCACACACACACATGTATGCACACCGTATGGACATGAGTGCACACATACATACACGTACATCTAGCAATTACAAACAGGTTCAGCTCACACAGAGCCCACAGATTTCCACAGCTGTGCATTTTATGCACATCTTCTATGCATTCCCACTTGATAAGGTGGGTGGGGATCCTATGTGAGCATAGGAATGTCTCCTCTGTCTATTTGTACAGAGGGGTCCTGGTGGGACAAATTTCCTTCACACTTGCAATATTCATGTAGGCATGATATAGATCTGGTGTCAAGGTATACTATGTCTGAATTAAATAAGAAACAATGCAGATGATAAGATGGGTTTAGAGCTGTTTGTTTTTTTGGAAGGGAGGGTATGTTTTTCCCTGTGGTTTTAATGGACGCTGTGGGACATTCCTGCCCTGCTGTGCTTTTTTAATATTTCACTAAGGATTTCATGGTTATTAGCTGACTTGTAATAACAAAACAGTATTTGTGCTTCAGTGTCACAGGGAGAACTGGCCCGAATGAACTGATCAACCAAATAAATAAAGAGCCCTTCGACTTTTAACTACATAGCTGCTTGCAGCGATTAGGTGATTGTATAAAGGCTCATTTTTTAAAGGCCTCATACCTTCACTTTTTTTTGGTCTTTGTTAGTTCTTATACTGATATCATGAAGTGAGGACAAACAAGAGCTTTTCATAACTTCAAAGCATTTCTGTCCCCATTTCAGTACTATTCAAAATCATGCACTATTCCAGCAGAAAGTGGACTCTGAAACTGGAGATGCAGAAAACATAAAGCATAACGTGCTGGCTGCTGAAATTCTCTGTGAAGAATCAATTCAGCAGACCTTCAGGAACCTTAGTCTACAGTTTAATTTCATAACTCTCAACTTTGCAGTCAGTTCACTGCCATGAAACTTTGCCAAGTACTTGGCAACATCTACAACAATTATTTGGGAGATGTTGGACTGTAGATCATTAGATCACTTTCATTTTATTAGAGAAATGAGCTCCTATAAAAAGGTAGGTGATGTGGGAGCAAGGTGATAGAAAGAAATGAAGATGAGAAGAAAAAATAGTGAAAACAGTAAAAGATCTTTCTGTCACTAAGAAGTAATGGGAACACCCCTTTATGTAAGACACAGCTTCTCATTGCTATATACTATGACACAGACAAAAGCTCTCACAAGAGACCTCATGGGGGATGTCAGTGACTTCTGAACATTTCTTGAGTTTCTTACACCAGCAACATGCAACATTCAAGAACAGAAAATATTTACCTTTGGGAGGGGAAAAAATGTCTCTACGGTTTTGCTTATAAAACCAGAAAAAAATACCCACCGTGGGTATGATAGTGTAAATTAAGTACAGAGAGCAAACAATGTTCTCCCCCTTTCTGAAGCAAACAACAGATCCTCTCAAAATGTCATTGGATCTCCTCCTTCCCATCCATGTGCCTGCAGGAGAAAAGCTTTGGCAGGTGCTCAGGCAAGCTGTCTAGTGAGCAGTGGAGGAGGCATATGGATGAACTCCAAAACCCAGGGGCAGCAATGGCAGTTCCGCGCCTGGCACCATTTTGCACATGTGATGGGGGAGCTTCACCTCCTAGTTTTCCTAAACTGACTGCAGCCTACAGTCTGGGTAGCCAGGGATGCAACCTGGTTTAGAAACTGTTTTGGATCAGGAGTGGATCTGATGAACATGGGGAAGGAAGTGTACTACTTACACTGCCCTCAGTTCAGCCTAAACTCAAGCCAAATCATAGAGGGTCCAGATGAACAATTTCTGACCCCTGCAGGGAGCCTTCCCCAGTTTGTGTGGAGTGATGTAGCATTCCTGGACCCTTTTGTGCTTTAGGAAGAACCCGGCTGCTGGATGGACACTGGGCGTTTTGGTGCATCTGATCATGGGAAAGAGCAACTGGCATGGGGCACCAAGTGGTGGCTGCATCTCCAGAAAGGCCCCGAAGCCCAGCAGTTAATCAGAACTGTTCTCCATGAGCGTGCTTATTATTCCAAATACTTAGAAGAGGGGAAAGCAAGCCATGGTCCAGCCTCTGTCCTCACTTGCCTCCATGGTGTTAAGGGCTACCAGCAATGGACAAATTTTCCTGTGGGTGCATGTGCAGCCCTGGACATGATGCTTTTCTCAGGGCTTGTTACTGTAAGGGTTCATTCCATTGTCTCACAGAGCCCTGAAGACATTTGGCAATTGAAGGAAATGTATCGTTTCTCAAGAGGTTTCTGTACTCCAGATCCAAACCAGTCATCAGCTAGGGTGTAGATTGGGCCTTACAGGTCTGCATGCTGGGGCTCTGATGCACATGGTCGGATGACCGCTCCCGTGGTGTTTGTTGCTGGAAAGCTCTTGCCCCCTTCTCCTCTTTCCTGTCTTCCCTATGTGACCTTGAGGTGAGTGTGGATGATGCTGGCATTATGTAAGAGGAGAAGGAAAATAAAAGCTAGCAAAGTTTGCACAGAGCAGTTTGCAGATGCTGTTTAGTCAATTTTATTCCAGGATGGACTGATGACTTCTGACTTAATGTGAAAAAGAAAGTATCTAGGCTACTTCAGGTGGAATGCTATCCACTATTTAGAAGTAAAAATAATTCCACTAACATAAGAAAAACTCCATAGAACAAATGTGAGATGAGCTTTCTTAAAATACTGTCTCCTTTCAATAATCTCCTGGATTGCATTTCGTGCCACAGAGCATGTGTTTCAGTCAGTAAAAAGAATCCAAAAAATGTCCTCTCTGAGGACTCATCTTGCTCATGACTGTCACTGCAACGTACCCGAATCAAAGCCAAAGGATATTTGGGAAATCAAAGAATAAGATAGAGTTAATAACCTACTGCTCTCATCAACTCAATACAGGGATTGCAGTGGAACCACTTCTTAGGCCCTTAACACTGTCAGTGGTGAGAAATTAGCATTTCTGCTCTCTACATTTCTGTTTCATCGTGTGTCATGTCAAGATTATCTGCTTAGTTGTGTTGAGTTATTGTAATTACTGTAGTATACTTAACTGCTTTATATGGTGTTTTAGGCAATATGACCAATGTCTACGTACTATTTACTCACTATTCTGGTGTCTGTCTGAGCATAAGATACATTTAAAAGAAAGTTTTAAGACAATATGACTAAAGTCTGCCTCAAGACTCTTCCTTCCTTTCATCTGCTCCCAGAAGAAAAGTTGCATTTGGGATGCAATGCATTGATTTGGCAGTGCTTTATTTCAGAATAGATATTGCTGGCTGTAGATAGACAGTGCAAAGATGGTGCAAAGTTGAATGAACAAGAAGGAGATCTGGGTCTTTCAAGTTGGTTCCTTCAGGTGTTAACTTTATACTCTCAGCTGTCCATCCAGGAGCGCTTGGATATCTTGCATAGATTCCTCTCGTAAAAGTCAGGTGATCTATCCAGTATCTTGGCCCAAAAATGCAAGACTCCTTGATGATAAAGCCTGGGACCATAGACTTAGCTCTGTGAGCTAGGGTACACGTACATTGTAGAGTACATTGTGCCCTTGCAGGGTCCCAGATTACTGAAGAGTTAGGCTACAGGCTTTTATATACTGGCTAAAGTTTACTGTGATGAATGTGAACTTCTAAAGGATTCTCCTGGGATAGTCTATGATACTTAGTGCTCAGGAATCTGGAAAGCTGAAATGACACAAACCTGCTCTATATAGACCTAAATAATTGTTGGAGACTCGTTTCTGTAGTGGTTCTAAGCATGCCCTTCCAACCTAGACAGTTCTATGATCCTATGATTCTATGCCAGTGTCCTCTTTGAATCATCATTTAAAGAAAAGAATTAGATTAGGGAAAATAGCAATCCAAATCATCTTTCTGCTCTGCATCTCAGCAGGTTTTATGTTGTCTTCTGTTTCAGCAACTCATTGGTGAAAAGGCTGTGTTTCCACTGCATTTGATACAAGCATCATTTTTGGCATTTAGCCGATCAATTGATGATAATAAAGCTGATAGCAACAACAGCTCTAAAGGCAGTAACCAGGTGTCTGGCGGAACTCTGAAAACTTTCAGTGTTAGTGATTTCAGGGCTGTCAGACCATCACACTGTCTTCCAGGACCATCTGATAACACATGATGGCTGTTCAGTGGGCATGAATCATGACTTATTCACAGGCTGGAAAGTATGCAGAGACATCAGACCTGCATTAGCCTAGCATGGCTTATCTCAGAAGGTTACATGGCACTAATATTACTATATGCATATACCACACAGCACCTCTTTCCCGATGCTGATAATTGCACCGGGAAGGCTTCTGCAGCACTAGCTGAAATATGGCTGGTGCTACTAGTATGCTCCAGACATTGCAACAGCTTCGTGAACTAGGATCTTTGATGCCACTTCAAAGCAATTATATTTTAGAACATCTCCATATGCTGTCTTTAACTTCCCTGTCATATGCCTTCTGCTCAATTAGCAGCTGCAAAAGGACAAAATCCATTACTATTTGAGTTCCAACTGTTCAAGTTAAGATACAGTTAAGCTGTATCAATAAATTTACTTGTTACAAATTTATGCAATTGGAAACTTACTTCCCACAGTTGCATGTCTCTTGAAATTAAAAAAAAAAAAAAGACTTCACAAGCCATATGCTGTTGTGACATCCATGCAATGTAAATTGATAACCAGATTGGATGCCATTCCCTAGTTTATTGGAGATCACTTCCAAGAAAGATAGATCTGCTGACAAGATTAAACAAGTGACTCATGAAAACAAACAAGGAAATAATCTCTTATATTCAGTTCAGGGTTTGGGGCTTGTGGAATATCCCATCCAGGAGAGTTCCTGTGTTGGCAGTGTGCCTGATGTGGGTTTAAAAAGAGACTAGCTCACTGCAAATTTTACACAGCAAACAGGAAATGATACTTCATGTTTTGCAGTCCTTGTCCTTCTCCTCTCCATGAACAAATCACTCACACCAGAGTGGGATTGGTAATTAGCTGGTGTGCACCTTGAATACTGGCTGGCAAGAACTGCAAAATCTTCATCAGTGAGACTGAGAAAAAGTAACCATAATCATTCCCCAGTTCCAAACTTTTCTCTGCCCCCTGAGTGCTGAAGAGGTTAAAGAGATTAAATCCTGAATCTAAACTTCAAGGAATCCCAAGGTCCTTCAGACCCAGTCTTCAAAGCCGTTTAGTAGTAAATCAATAGACAAGTGGTTCAGCATTGCCGCTTTAGATTTCTTGACTTGATGAAAACCCCAAGTATCTGTCAGCCTGATGGGGTATATATACAGAAAGGCAGTATTCCTTTTGGGGTGGGCCAGAACCTTTGTACAAAGACATGGCATCAATAAGGATGACTCACCTGAGACAAGAGATCTCATCTTTGCACACATTGATTAAAAAGTTAAGTGGACTTTCATTCCCTGTGATCAGAAAGCTCAGATTAACAAGAAGCATCTGATAAATCTAATCTTCATTGAGTACCTTCATAATCAGAAAGTGCTGACGAGCAGGAAAGATGAGGTTTAAGTTTTTCTTCCTCTGGCTCATGATTACCAAATCAAGATTGTCAGGCAAGCATGAAAGGAGATGTCAAAATTACTTACACAGGTCCAGGCACCTTCTCAGCTAGCATAGGTTCCCTATGTCCTGTACTACTATTATGAACAGAGAAGGTAATTTCATTTCACTTAGGAGACAATAGGACCAGTTAGGCACTTGCAAAATGGATATTCCAGATCAGAGAGGACTACTCATATACCCAGATTGCAACCATAGTACAGTTGCTCATGTAGATACTGGAAAAGAACTTTTCAAACAGAAAACAATTCCTCCCAGGCCCATGTTTTATATTTGACAGCTTCCAAGAGGCAGCTTTCAAAGTGGTAAAAGACTCCGGGGATCTCTGTTGCTATTCAGACCTTGAAAATATACCTAGAAAAAGTGGAATCACAGCTTTAAGACAATCTGTATCTTAGTAACAGAAATCCAGAGCTGTAGTTTCAGTGATTGTCTTAAGAACAAATGTCAAGAGAACACACTTTACACTAGGGATAATGAAGGATCCAGTTGTATTTATGATAAAAATTAAAACATGTCCTAAGGATAGGAAATAGAAATTTGGTGATGGATGCAATTCTTGTTCCTTGCTGTTAATTTCTTTTTGCTTTCTTTGCCTTGATTTATATTGTTTCTGTGTGATTATGTCCAAAATGCCTTGAGATTCAATTATGCATATGGCTAAAACTTGTTACCGCAGGGTAGGAGCAAAATAGTCATGTTACTTGAAGGACAAACAACTGGTATCTTGATTGAAATGAGCAAAAGAAGTGGAGAAAGGAATACTACAGAAGCCTAAAGAAACAAAATCTACTGGAGCAAAATAGTTCCAGCTCATTTCCTTTGCTGGTAACTATCAGTTTGCAATCATACTTTTGAAGTGGCCAGTGCTTGTTTACTCCCCCTGTCCACCTCCTTTTGTGTTAAATGTTCGAAGTAACATTTTTCAAATGGGATTAATAACTGTGTAAAAGGTACAATACTATTTTGCTTGGTTAGGTGAAAGTTACTCAAGCTTTCTATCTTTTCTCTTCATATGGCAGGCTTTTGTGAGCCTGCCTAGGAAGAAACTGCAGAAAACTGAGCCCTGAAATAAGCAAGAAAAATTCCCCATACCTTCTGAATACCCAGTAAATCTATTAAATGTTTTTTATGATTCAAATTCAGGTCTGCCACATGGCATTATGTATCCTCTTCCTCAGGTGTAGGGGTGGCAATAGCATGTTGGCAACTGCTAAAGAGGCTTATGAGGCAAAACTTTCCCCAGTCACCTTTGGAAGTACATTCCCTAGTGTTTCTCAGATTCCTCTTTAGAATTGTTTGCTCTGTCTTATTCTCTGTTTTTAAAATCATTATGGCATGTACTACATAGCACAAAACAGTCCATATGGCAATAAGATGATCATGGTGATTGATACATGCAATTTGTGAAAATCATATTTGGGGAAATAGCATATAAATGAAGGGCTAGAACCTCCCATCCCTTGTCCTAGGAGAATAATCCTTCATCAAGTAAGTAAATGTGCTTTAGAGCCTTTAAAATGTCACCTTTTTCTATATTTACAAGCAGATATTAAATTACCTGATAATATCATATTTTGAAGGTAGCCAAGCTAAGTGGTGTGTCTGCAAGACCGGGGTTTATAATGAACTGTAGCAACAGCAGATTTATTGTAAGACGATCTTTTAAGAGCACATTAACATGAAATGGCTTAGAAAGATTTAGCGACCTATGAAGTTTAAGATTAATTTCCCTACCACCCCAACAGCTGAGTTCTTAGCTCTGCCAGTGCAGGCTGGAAGGAATCCCACACAGACTTTCCTAGGATGGCTACTGATAACGTTTTACTTTGACAATAATGTCAGTTTTATCTAAAGAGAGACAACCTTTCTGGAGCTTCTACTAGCCACCAAGGCAATCTAACTCTGAGAAAGTTCTTTGGCTGTCTGCTTGTTGAGTACTAATCTTCTCAGGTAATTAGTGGAGGGTCACCACTGATATTTCTTGTGATGCATTAGCAATTGTGGATGGAGAATCAAAATTCAGAAAGGAAAAACAGTAGCTATTTAAACATTAAAGAAAGAGCTGGATCTTTATAAAGCAGTTAGACCAAAAAGTATACTTCAATTTCATGGTATAAATAAACAGTAGCTATTTAAACATTAAAGAAAGAGCTGGATTTGTATAAAGCAGTTAGAGCAAAAAGTATACCTCAATTTCACGGTATAAATTTACCATCTCGATACGGTAGACATTGTCAATAAATGCAGGTTTCAGCACAGCAGAGACACGGAGTTAATCCGTTTGGATTGATACTGACTCAGTGTGGAGTGAAACTCCATTACCTTTTAGTAATGCTGTCAGGATAGCTAAATCAATATCCTGATGTCCTTCTGATCCCATGCGAAATACTGTGATCTGAAATGTTAAAAGACAATACCATTATTGAAAACAGGCTAATTTTTTAAAAAATAAATTAAATCAGGGCAGCATAATTTGGATCTCAAAATGTCCCGATGGCTACAAGACGATCTTACTTTATGTGTTTTATAAGAAGCTTATTAGATAGGATTAACAGTATTTTTTGTGAGATAAAATTTGCTAAAGAGAGAAGTTGTATTAATGAGCATATGGGGAAAAGTCTTCAGTGATACATGGTGAAATTAGAGATGAAGGAATGTTCTACTAGAGTAACATTAGATTTAGTGTTCCCAATACATTACTAGTAGGAGGAATTAGGTGTATTATAGGCTGTGGACCCAATTTACAGCATAGGCATTGAATAAAAATTTTCAACCAAAATCAGCAACCTACTCAACCTCACGATTTTATATAGCAGAAAGTTAGGTAAATAATCTAAGAATTAAGCTTCTAACAGGTCCAGAAAATATCTTTAGCCATGTGTGGTCAATGACCTATTGCTGTAAGATGTAAACTCTGAGGCAGTGAGGTGAGATACACAATTCATAAAGAAGAAGAATGAATACAGTGGGGCTGTGCTTTCAAGCCAGTTTCACTCTTGGTTAAAACTGCACAGGAACATACAGAAGTGTAAATCCCTTCGCTCCTTTTGTTGCCATGGCAATAGCTGCTCTTGGGCCTCTGCTTCTTGTGAAGCAACTGAGACTGCAGCTTTTTATTAGTGCTTTTCCTTTACTAATGAAACCTATGCCAACGTTTTGATCTGAATATCTGTTATGAGTGGTTTTTTTTTAATATTTTGCCAGTACAGACTGCCTCATTTTTTTTTTTTTAATTAAGTGATACCTTTAATTGGGAATCATGTAAACATCTTTTGCACTCATATTCAGCCTTATATGTTGTCCCCACATCCCTAAACTCCTACTCATATAGCACCACTGAACTGCGGTAACATCTGGGATAGAGGTCAGCAAACATCTGGGCTCCAAGAGCGGTGTAGTGTGATGGGCAAGGGAGATATATACGGTGGTCAAAGCTAAGACAACACCTTGGTGACAAGCTTCAGTTTGCCAGCTGAAATAGCTCTGTAGAGTGCATCCCAAGAAATCCAGTGTAGCCTTCCTGTAGCACTTATTTTACCTTCGCTCGACCCTAAAACTCTAGATGCTCTAGCTGTTCAAAGGGAGATAAGAGATGTCGGCATCAGTGACAGTAAGTAGTACAGCTAGATAAAATAATAGGAAATAATAGCTCAGTTAGTCAATTGATTTAGATGATGCCTAAAACAATTAATGTGAGAAAGCATTTGTGTTAGGTGTCCTCCCCAGTTAAAGCAGACTTTTCAAATAAGACTTAGTTTGACCCTTCAGTGTGTTCTGGAGACTGTAAGTGAGTGAATGCAGTGCTGCCACATAACAGTCTGATCATAACATCCTCACAGCGCTTTGCAGTTTCCTACACAAATTTTGCAGCAAGAGTCATCTGTGTAGCACTGAAGGGAAATGTGACAGCCTGGCAAGCAGATCAGCAAATGCTGGGAATGCCTTGTTTTCATCACTGTGCTTGGTGGCACCACTACACGGCAAATAATTACGTGACCTAGGACTTGGCAGTGCTAGGTTAATGGTTGGACTCAATGATCTTAAAGGCCTTTTCCAACCTAAACAATTCTATGATTTTATGATTCTAGAAGCAAAATGCCCTTCTCCTTCTTTAAAGCCAAAGGTGAAGCAGTCTGCACATCAGGGACTGAAAATACTGAACTTTGTCCTGTTGTCGTTCCTCATGGTTTTCAAAAGATTGATTCTTCTTTCCACGTTTGCCCTAAAGCTCGAGCAATGTTTTTGTTTATTCAAAAAGTGAAGGATTTAAAACAGGACTGTGCTGTAATTACAGTCACAACTTTGTCACACCGTTGATAAAATCTTTGTTGATAAAATCGTAGTCCTTATATGCAGCATTCTTCAGTATAATTTGTATTTTTGCAGATATGTTGGTTGCTTCTACTATTGGATGGCAGAGGTGTTTGAGTATAGTGACATTAGCTTTCAAATGACTAAAGGAAAATATTTCTTTGTGGCTCTGCAGAATGAATTTTGGAAGATGAGGCTTAAAGCTGCAGCATGCTGGCTGCTGAGCCACTTGTATCATCATCACTTCTAATTTACCTGGCAAAGCCAGATCATTATCAAACCATGTAGGTGCAGCTTTTGTTCACCTTCAGTAACTATTTATGATGCAGGGACAAGACAATGGGACTGGAGGAATATTGCAGCTATAGTTTGAGTCCCAGACTAGCAGCTTGTGAGGAACCCCGAGAACCTTGAGCAGGCCTCTACTGCTTATCCAGTGCAGCTTTATGTTAGGCTGCTGTTGTGCTTGAATGCTTCATTAATGAAGGCTGCACATTCCCCCTGCCTTTTCTCACAACTTTTGTTAGAAATGCATTCCCCAATGCTGCCCCCCTTTTTTTCCCTGACATGTTTAAATATGGATAAATAGAGAAAACAAACAAGCTTTGTGAAACGCTGAGAGACAGAAGAACATACAATTTGTTGTTGGATGAGATCCTAGTGCCTTGTCCTAAAAACTGTCTAGACCTTTCCAGAAAGACAGAATGAATTTTGTTTCTGCATTTTATGAGTACAGTTACGAGGAGACAGCAATTGTTCCTAAAATATGAATTTACTTCTTTACTTACACAGTCTGTAGTTTTTCCAGCATCCACTAATTTTTGTGTCAGAGGCATGATAGGGACGCATCCTGAAGTATTTATGCAGACTTTACACTTAGAAATGTTCAGTATCTCTAGGTCTCAAAAATACCTGTCTGTCTGTCTTGCTGGAGATCTGTTCTGGTGACTTCCCGCAGTTAAGAGGTAAGAATTTTGTGTTTGCAATACACTCATCTAGTTTCAAGAGCCATTAATGTATCTGACACCTTGCTAGTTGCCATTTACAGATACTCTGGTGGGTAAATCACTGCAGAGAACTGAGAAACCATACCTTGGTTAAAATAGTCCTAGAGCCCTGTTAGAATGGGCTACAGATGCTACTGCACTAATGTCTATAAAACTGCTGTGCTAAAGGAAAGTATCTGTAAGCTCTGTAAGTATCAGTAAGCTCTATTCCCAGCTACCTCTTGCTCGATGAATGTCTGCCACTGAGATGCAAAAATAGCAGTAAATTAAAGACTTAGAAACCCACTTAATAGCTCATTACTAAGGAAAAAAAAAAGCCTTTCTTCTTTAAAAGGAACACTGTCCAGCGCCTAAGACCCATTCAGCTCTAAAATGATCTGCTGTAGACCTGTTTAAGCCTGTTGTTGAGTCTTAGCCTCTGTAAAATTTTATGAACAAATAAAAGGAAAAACAAGCGAGTAATGTGTGTATATGAAAACCAGGACTTTTAATTATAAAAAAATAGATGCGGGAGTTAAAGAAGTGGGAGTTAAAAAGTAATACATAAAACTTGCTTACCCTGCCAAAAAGAAAGGAAAGGGTAAAAGTTGCAGTATCAGTCAGACTACCACTAGCCATTCTTTTGTGTTGCTGTGAAAAAGTGAAGACTAGTTTAACCTCAGAGATTTTCTTTATGCTGATCTGATTCAAACTGTTTCTATTTTTCTGAGCATAATGAAATTGTATTAGAGAGAAAAACTACCATTTACCCTACTCAGCTATTTCTTTTGAGCAGAAAAACAATTTACTTTCAAAGAAGAAAGAAATCCAAACATCAAGTACTCTTTTTTCTTCCAGGGATTTGGGACACATTATTACTTCCATGTAGCTGGTAGTTTCCACTGTTGATGTTAAGTTCAATTATTTTAAAAGAACAGGTTTTTTTCTGTTCCTCCTCTACCACCTTGGGTATTTTGGGGTTAGTGGGTTTTTTATTTCCTCCTTTCTTTCCTCAATGTTCACACTGTGTATTGGCTTGAAAAGGTTTTTTCAGGTAATTGCCTGAGGTGTCTCAGTGAACAGCTATGACTTCCAACAACAAGCTTTTTTAAAAATACATTTTTCTTCTCCTTTATAAATATAGTAGAAGCTGATGTTAACATCGCTTAATAATACAAAGCTGTATTGCACAGCACTGAAGAAAGTTAAATATGCAGATGAAAACACACCTGAAACACACAAGCAAAAATGACTCTGAGGTCCCAATAAAGGTTGCACCAACAAGCTGCAAAAACACTCTTAATAGGCATCCAGATTCTTTCCAAATGTAACTGTAATGTGTGGATTTCTTTTGTTATGCCTACTTGCAAAGTACAGTAGATAGCAGCTATTTCCAATTCTGGGGGCAGCTGGGCAAGGACTGTCAGCTCTGCTGGGCTCCTCTCAAGAGGAGGTGATTGGGACCGACCAGCCAAACCCTTCTGTCTCGAGACTGCATCTCATTTGCCTCCACAAAACCTGCCTCAGTGAAATGGGTAAGATTTGCCCTTAAAAGCAAGACATGCCTGCCCCAGACCTCCCACCCCCTACCCCCCAAAAAAATAATAAAAAAAAAAGGGATAGAAAGGTCTTTCCTCTACCTCACTGCAGATTTCACTGAAATATCTTAATTTGAACAGGATCAACTTCCAGGAAAAAAAACATAGCTGTGTCCTAATTCTTCCCAGGAAAATGTGCTAGGAAATCACTGAGGAAATCACTGAGCCAAAACAGACCTACTCTGCAAGCACAATGATTGCAGCACATGGTGATGCCATAATTGCCAGCAATAATTACAGTCCAGCAGGGTAGAAAACTAATTTTCAGGCAGGGCAGATAGAAAGCAAGTGAAAAACAAGAGATGGATTAAATAAGCATCAGGATAGAAAGCAAGGTGTTGAGGGTGGTGGGGAGTAAGGGGAAGAAATTGTCTGACCTTAGACTCTATCAAAAAGCACTCATTTTAAACCAGCTCTGCTTTCTGTTTAGCACCAGATCCATTCTTGTTTGACAGGTTACTTTTTCTTTCCCTTTCCCCCATGTAATTTCTGGCTCAGCA